GCGTGCGGGCACACACCGCGTACCAAGCAGAGGTAGGCGCAAGGTCCCTTCCCGTACTAGCCAAGGCCAGACGATACATGGCGCAAAAGCAGCAGCAAGCTGATTGACGGTCCCCCGCCTTTCCCTGACGGTAGGAGGAAGGGGTAAGGTAGGAAAGGAAGGGTAGGTGGAAGGAACGGGAGGTACCTTCCCTGGTCTTGTCTGCCGGGAGGTACATGACACACTACCCGCACCTTCCCACCATACCGTGCCTTCCTGACGGATACTGCGCGCTTTTACTATGTAGACAGTAGGTACTGGCACGGCAGGTAGACTGACTTGCTTGCACTTGCACCTACTTGCTGGAGGGGGTGATGGGTAAAATGGGTGGTGGAGGATGGGGGAAGGAAGGGAAGGGGACTCTGGACTCCTCTGGCTGGTCTTCCACCTTACCTCCCGCCCGCGTCAGTCCTCGCCCTCACAGTTCAGGGAGGGAAGCCGCGCCCACCCATCCTGCTCTTGCTGTTTCCACGGTCCTTCTCCTCTCTCCTGCCTTTCGCTCCTCCTTTTCCGCGTGTGCCCAGTCACACCTCCCAGTATTTTCTCCCGGCTGCTAGAGTCCTTTGCCCAGTGCGCCAGTGCGCAGTCCAGTTTTCGCCTGCTGCACCCATTCAGCAGCCAGAACTAGCCCAGCCCAAGGCCGCCAGACCAAGCAAGACCAAGGTGACCCCCTTCCCCTTCCCCTTCCCACAGTGCCACCCCTCGTCCTTACCCCCCCCAGTCGCAGTCGACCGCAGAGTCCCAGGCTTCCCAGCAAAAACAAGTGCGAAAGGCGCGTTGCTGCCGCACAATCACTCCCCCATAGTAAAAAGGCTGCTTGGCCCTCCCCCATACGTTTTCCTCCCTCTTCTTTTTCCCATACAAATCTCCCACCCAAATCCTCCTCCCATACAAACCACTCTCTCGCAATACACACATACAACCAGCCTCTGCGCACCTTGTGAGTACTTATCGCACTCCCAATCCACATTGCACCTCAGCATCACGCCCATATCCAATACCCTCAATATCTGCCAACGCCCAAAGTTATTTTGGCAATTATATTGCGCATCTTTACTTTTGCTCAAAGTCAAAATCCTGTGGCTTTCTGGCGGACTTTGGAGCGTGCATCCCCCTCCGCGATCTTTCTTCGCACCTCAACCATCTTCCTCAACTTCACCCAAAGGAAGCTTGACAGCTAACGGAGCTTGACGCGTCAGACCCCGAATTCCACAACACCCTCTCAATCTCTCAAAACCCCGCTCAGGTATGCTTCACGATCTCTTTACCACGACTTTGAGCTTCAAATCTCAATTATCGCGCGTTGCCGACCGCAATTGCACTTGCGACCCATCACCACCCGCGCCTAGGGATCCGCACCATCGCGCAACGCTGCCTTGCCCAGTGCGCGGCGCAATGCCACCAACCCTGCGCAACATCCAACCCACTTTCTTTTGAAAACACGCTGCATCTGCCAAGTTCCTGCCATTCAGTCAAACTAATCGCTTTCTCATAGACAACATGCCCAAGGCAGCAACCAAGCGTGGCGCGGCCGGCAAGGTCGAGAAGAAGCGCGGCAAGAAGGGTACGTTTATCTCTTTCTCCCGTTCAGTCGACCGCGGTCTCGTCGACGGGTTACTCGAGTGCTGGGTCACCACGGCCTTGAACATTTCCAAGGCATTTGAAAGACTGCCCAACGGATGTTCTCGGCCGTCAATCATGCTCTCGCGAAGCCTAACGGCGTAGTGCCGCAGTTTCTGCTCTACTCACCAGATTATGTCTAACACTGATCCAGACCCCAACGCCCCCAAGCGTGGCCTCTCCGCCTACATGTTCTTCGCCAACGAGCAGCGTGAGAACGTCCGTGAGGAGAACCCCGGTATCTCGTTCGGACAGGTCGGCAAGATCCTCGGTGAGCGCTGGAAGGCCCTCAACGACAAGCAGCGCGCCCCGTACGAGGCCAAGGCTGCCGCCGACAAGAAGCGCTACGAGGACGAGAAGCAGGCCTACAACGTAAGACACCCTCATGCACCTCCCTTGATGTGTTGTGCTGAAGCTAATTAGTCCTACTGAAGGCCGACCAGGAGGAGGATGAGTCTTCTTAGGGTATTCGTTGTTTCTGTTGTATCTCGGGCCGCGGCGTTCAATGGTGGAATGGCCCATTATGGGTTATCTTTAAATGGTTTTGGGGCAGGGAAGGCTCTCGAGTGTTACTCGAGTGTTACCACGTCTGGTAACGGAGCCACAATGAAATAACGAATATCTCGATATGAGAACTCCTGTACAAGTAAAGTATTCAGTGGCTTGGCTTCGTCGTTCCGAATTGCAATGCTGCACCAAAGCAAAGAAGTTGTGTACACATGGTCATCGGCCGATGCACCGTGCTCACTGAATGAAGGGTCGCTTCCCCGGACCCAAGGATCTGGACGTCCAGGCCTTATTTTCGGTCAACCAGTCAGAATGTCCTGATCCTCTTAATTGCCAGGGCATCGTATCGTGGGGGTGAAGGGGGGAGGCACGCAGGCCAGAACAGCGGCTGGGATCGGCCTGTCCACTAATGCAGAGTGTACACGGCCGGGGTCGACCTGCCGTGCCGTCCGGGGGCCTGGGGCCGACTTGGGCGGCTTGTGTGGCCCGTGTCTGGCGAAGGCGGCATCGGTAGCCATGAAGCGGGTGCCGCGACTGGAAGTCAAGGCGAGATGGTGGTGAGCCGGTAGGCTTTCGTGGCTGCCGATTAGGTAAGAAAACTAGCAAACCCGAAAACGGTGCAACGAAATCTCCACACTTTCCCGTCCGATCCATTGCCGGGGCCAGGGTGGTCTCGGTGTGTTGAGACACTGCGAGATGGGAGGGGGCCGGTCACCTTACTGAGGTTCCTGCATCCAGTATCTCGTCGAAATAGAAGGCAGGAGTCGATGGAGGCGGGCTGCCTCCTGCCTTCCCGGCGAAATTCAGGACCAGGAATGGATGCCTGATTCTGGTCAGGTTACTGCCCGTCCCTCGCTCCTCCCAAGGTTCATTCTCGACCTTCATAAGCCAGCAGCATCCGCAATAGAGCACCTCCGTTCATTCTTTCGCGAACCTCCCATCCCCACGTAATCGTACCGTGCATCTCTATCGACCATGTCGCGCGGGTCGACAAAGCATTCGAGTTTCGACAGCCTGCTTCTCCTAGCATGGGGACAGATGATGTTTGCGCCGATCTGCTTCGCCAGCCAATTGTCACCACATGCAAAAGCATCTCGCCCACTCCTGGTGGTGCGCATTTGTTCATGAGATGAACCGGTCGATATGGTGCAGCTCCTTGCATCATGGAGGGCTCTGTCAAGTTCCGTCCCTTTGTCCCGTCATCCCGTCTTGCGCACCAGACAGAACTGCCTCGCCTCGCTAGGAAGGAGGCTCTGCGCATTGCACTCCGCGCGAACGGTTCGAATGAAGAAGCGACGGATGCCACATCGCATGCATTTGCGGGGATGACAAGAATCATAGTGCATCAACGACCAGACCAATGTGGAAGGATATGGCATCGTGCTGCATCTGACCATGCATATGTCAATACTCGGTCGTCGGTTGCCACGATACTTGCCCTACCACGATCTGTTCGTCTCCAGGGTTGCGTCTACGACACTCAACCCCGTATATTTGGATGCACCGCTAGCGACGATCGAAGCGGGCACGATAGCAATGCGACGCTGTGCTATTTCGCCTTTGCGCCCCTACGCCCCGTTCTTGTCGAGCTCTTCGGCGCGGGGTGCACACATGGGAACCGTCAGCCAGTCGTTGTGTATACCTTCGCCAAAATGCCGGCCATGAGCCAATTTCCTTCGGTGCCCGGAAGGTCTCTGCCAGAAGCAAGTGTTCATCTGCGTTATACAGTTTATGCAAGTGCTAGTCGCCCAAGCCTGAACCCCGCCGGCTCCGGCCCGGCCTCATTCGTCCATCGCACCGTCTTGGACGTCTAATGCATGCAGAGGGGGAAGCATACAGGTCCATGGGGTCATCCTCAGCAGTCGTGGCATGCTCTGGCTAGTCGGTCGTCAGGTCAATATGTGTTGAGCCCACACATTCTGCTTTGGCAGCAATCTGACAGATGTGCCCTCTTTTCTTTCCTTACCTTTCGGCCTCCTCCTTCAGAGTTTCTTACAGAGCCTCTCCTACCAGTTTTTGGATCGTCGGCCCTTTCGGTTTCGGTGTATTTTTGTGGTTCCGCCTTGATATATTCGGCGCATGCATCGGTCAGTTGACTCGGTGCTCCGCAGTGATTGACATACAACGCCGTTGGCGGTGAAGTCAGCGCAGGCCACCGAATGCCAAACTCAACTTCAACCAGCTTGCACCCGCTCAGCTCCGGGCATAGTCGCAACCGCCATTGAGACCCGACGACAAGGCATAGCCAATCCTCAATCGATTCGAGGCGGCCTTCTTCATAAACAACAGCCAGTGCTCGCCAACCACGGAACACTCGACACGTCAGATGTGATCAGCCTGTGTTGGTGTTCGGGTTCGCTCGTACTGCCAACACAGAAACAAAAGGCAGGACTGAATTCGGAGTCTGGCAGGGTGTGGTGGCGTGTGTTTCCGGGTTGGCCGCCAAAATCGAGACCTGCAGCTCCGAATCGCAATTGCAGCCGCTTTCCACCCATTGAGTGAGCGCCTACCGTTGTGGCCACACATTACCACCAGAGGAAGATCATGCCGAGCACAGGAAGCGGGTCGCCTCCTCTTACTCCTCTTCTCTTATCACTGTATTGTCTGTCGCTATTTCAGGACGACATATCGTCAGATCTTGTGAGCTGCTCAGTATCGCTTTCGTCAACTTTTCGGACTACATGCCGCCTGTGCAAAACATTGCTACAACACACAGAAGTTTAAGCACCAGCCGGGCTTTGCACCGACGGTTAAGAAATCCCGCCGAGCGATGAGAAGGTGAATCGCATCATAATCACCCATCCCAGTCGAGGACGCCGCCGAATCCGCCTAAAATGGAGCTGAGCCTACAGAAAGCCGACTTCCATCTCCTCCGAGGATGCTGCCTCGAGGCCGAGCGCGCCGATATGGTGTCAGTGCATCTTGAAGGTCTCCGCCAGGCGCTACCGGAGACCTACGGCGGCCATCTTGCCATGCTTGTCGAGGAGATGCGGAGCAGTGCAAGGGTTCTACGAGACCTAGCCGATCTATCCCAGATGCATTTCAACCGAGTGCCAATACTACTCAACTACCTCAACATTGTTCTTCCGTGTCTGTCCAGGACCCTCCGCGACATCATCAACTTTTATGAGACCCAGACGCTGAGCAAGGAAATGCGATGGCGAAAGATGTATCATACGATGACACAAGAAGTTGGCGGGCTGCCCTTGCCACAACGCTTTCTGCTTTATAACCATTTTTTGACCAGTCTGAAGCAACTCCTTATAAGGTAGACCACAGTCTGTGGAGGGTGCCTCCGGTGGGGATATATTGACAAGAGTATAGGTCGCCAAATTTCGACCTCAACGGTTTGGAGAGCCTGAGAACACGGATTATTGGACTTCGAGAAGCGCGGGGTCTTCGTACGCAACTGCTCGGGTTAAATTTCAAGTTTCATCTCGCTGACGTTCAGACAGCCACTCCGTCCACACAGGTCGGTCCCGTTCTCAGACCAGAACTGATGATCCTGCCGACGCTCCAAGATCCCGTACGTTACCCAATAGTGGATCGATATTCTGCTGACTGGGACTCTAGAATGCGCACTGGGCTGAACAGATCTTCTCGCTCCCGCTACCTTCTCGGACGGCATTGAAGCACAACAGGCCGTCGGAAGCTCGCGGCCAGTTTGTAGCATGGGGCCAACTTAATATCCCGAAGGAGACCAAGATGCTCTTCAGGCGGTACGGTAACAGATCGCCTCGACGCATGAGCCGTACTAACTCTCGTTAGACCGTTTGACGACGACCGTCTCTGTCTCATGATGTACCTTAATTTGGTGAACCAGACACCTTATATCCTTCTTCGGACATTCCACCAGGGTGCACCATGGTTCAGCCTCCGTGGAACCCACGAGCTTGTTATCCACAGGGAACACAGTAACGCCCTGCATCTTAATCGGTGGAGTCAGGTGGACCGAATGCCGAAGTTGTGGGCTGGGCTGAGCTTCAAGACTTGGGAAGGTAAGCCGTTATCAAAGTTCCAACAGGCTTGGTGGCTTGCATCTGACGTGCGCTAGAACTGGTCTTATTCCATTGCACGTTCGTCTCCTTGAAAACCAGGAACGCCCTTACAATCGACATGAACGCGAGAGAGTTCAAGCTTAAAGGCGAGGAGAGACTCTTCCAGGCGTAAGGCTGCATCAATCCCCCGGTCTCATGTACGTCAAAACTAACGTCTATATCCAGCCAAATTATTGACGATGGCTTCAAACACTCTTTGATAGTCTATCGTGACTCCGGAACCAAGGGCCTCCGCCTGCATGCCGCCGTTTGGGAGGGTGAACTCCGCCAATGCCCAGTCTGGACGGCCTTCGGTACGCCCTCCGTCTCTACATACCCCCCTCTCTAGTTCCTGTTCTGGGTCCGCTCTAGAGTTATTAAAAAACCCCTCTGTCCTCGACCCACCAATGTTGTTTCTAACCTCGACTCACAATCTTCAGTAACCCATCAGTCTGCGTCTCCGACTTGGCTCCAGCGCAAATCCAATCACCGCGTCTGGCTCAAAGACGTCCAGCTCTACGTCTTCTGCCACCGATACCGCCAGCAGAACCAAAGAAAGGGACAAGCTGGCGCATTCGAGATCAACTTTGTCTCCGACGAGGGGGCCAAACGGTTCCGCGAAGTCTTTGCTCCCGCACCTGAAGACACGTCTGAAGTTTCGATGGAGGCGATCGAGGATGCGAAGTAGTCGTGCGTGCGAAGTACCGGGCCGAAGCTCGACTGACGAAGGACCGGCCCAATATTCCACCACCGATCGATACCTCGCCGCCCGACCAGCCCCGATACTCCACACAAGAACTCCAGCCGTGGTCCCCGATTCCCTGTGGTGGAGCTGCTTCGTATCCCACCGTACCCACGTTACCTCTCTACCTCCCGTCCCACACGCCGGCTCGCCATTTCCAGGAATAATCGTGGATCAGGCCCCTAGAAATCCACTTCACCTAGGGGATTCTTTGGTGTTCTACGGCGGTCCGCGCGCAGACCGCCTTGCTATTCGAAACAGGTCATCCATCTCCCTCCCTCACCCCTTCGCATATGTTTTGTCTTGTTGGGTCTGGAAAAGTTTGGACTTGATGGAGATACCCTGGGAAGACTGATATGATTGTGATGTCGTTTTGATCTTGCTTTATTTCGTTGACATGCTTTTCCTTGATTGTGGCATGACATGAGCGTAGCGTTTCTCTCTTGCATTGCGTATGGCTGTCATTGCCTTTTTTTCTTTTCCTATTCTCTCTTTGCTCTTCTTGGTCTTCTTCTTCCAAAGAGACCCTCTCTTTCATGTCTACTTATTCGCTTCTACTACTGTTTCAATCTTTGGTGACGCACGATTTATGATAATGAGCTTGGAAAAGAATGCAACAAAAGAAATGAAGTATCAGCAATTGAGCGATTGAACAATGCGTCAGTCCGCACAGGTTCCACAATTTGAGAAGAAGCATGCAATTATTAGGTTGATTTGATTCAATTTATGCTGTCGTGTACCATCGTAACATCATCCACAGCAAACCAATGCTGGGCTTCTCTATACTGAAGCGCACCTTTTTACCCCTCCTGCTTTTGTTTTATCTTCGTTCCCCATCATACAGCAACTTGCACGCGCTTATGTCTTGACATCAGGCTCGTCACGGCCGATGAACTCCTTGAACTTGAGCAGGTCCGTGGCCATCTTGATCTCGGGCTTGAGGAAGTCCTGAGCGTCCTGGTCGTAGGTGGCGGGGTCGCTGCTGTGCTGCTCGAGGTACAGGCGGATGGTGGCGCCGGAGGAGCCGGTTCCGGAGAGACGGACAATGATGCGGCTGCCTGAGGAGAAGGTGGCGTACAGACCCTGGTTGGAGGAGACGGAGCCGTCGAGGTCGGTGTAGGAGAAGTTGCCGGCGCCAGTGACGGTGCGGTCTGTGCATATTAGCTGCGTGCTCTGGACATCATGTAGGGACTGATACATACCTCCGACCTTGCTGCCGATGAAGTTGGGGTCGGCAACGAGGTCCTTCAGGACACCGACAACCTTGTTGGCGCCCTCGCTGTCGACATCCTCGTAGTCGTAACGGGTGAAGAAGGTGCGGCCGTACTCGGTCCAGAAGTCCTGCTGGATCTTCTTGATGGAGGGGGTGACATCGGGGTTCTGGGCGCCAATACCGGCAATGATGTTCAACCAGGCGACAACGGCCCAGAGACCGTCCTTCTCGCGGATGTGGTTGCTACCAGTACCGAAAGACTCCTCACCGCAGATGGACAGCTTGTCGGCGTCAAAGAGGGCACAGAAGAACTTCCAGCCAGTGGGAACCTCGTAGCAGTTGAGGCCCTGCTTCTTGGCGACCAGGTCGACGGCGCCGGAGGTGGGCATGGAACGGGCAAGGCCGAAGACGCCGTTCTTCTTGAAGTAAGGAATCAGCTGGGCGTGGTGGGCGATGATGGCCAGGGAGTCACCAGGGGAGACGAAGGCGTTGGCGCCGTAGATCATGTTGCGGTCACCATCGCCGTCAGAGGCAGCGCCGAAGGGAATGTTGTTCTTGTCAACGACCTCGACGAGGGAGTGGGCGTAGGTGAGGTTGGGGTCGGGGTGGCCGCCGTTGAAGTCGGGGCTGGGGACACAGTTCTGGGTGGCGCCCTTAAGGCCAAGCTCCTTCTCGAAGATGGCGGTACCGTAGGGGCCAGTGACACCGTGCAGACCGTCGAACAGGACCTTGAAGTCGGGGTGGGTCTGGAAGAAGTTGCGGATAAGGTTGAAATCGAAAATGTCCTTGAGCATCTCGACGTAGTCGGTGGTGCTATCAACGATCTCGACCTCGAGGGAACCGTAGGTCTTGGTGCCAATGGTGGCGATGTCGACATCGGGGATGGAGGCGATCTTGTAGGAAGTGAGGGTCTTGGACGCCTCGTAGATCTTGTTGGTGACGGACTCGGGGGCAGGGCCACCGTTGGCAAGGTTGTACTTGATGCCGAAGTCGTTCTTGGGACCTGTTGGAGCGATGTTAGCTTGTGGCAGATGGATTGAAGGGGAGTGTGCTCTTACCGCCGGGGTTGTGGCTGGCCGTCAGGAGGATACCACCGGTGGCCTTGCGCTTGCGGATGACATGGCTGGCGGCGGGGGTGGACAGAATACCGTTCTGGCCGATAAGGAGCTTCTTGACACCGTAGGCGGCGCCAATCTTGGCAATCAACTGGACGACCTCGGGGTTCCAGAAGCGACCGTCACCACCGATGACGAGGAAAGAGCCTGCGAAGGCGGTCTGTCAGTTTCGGGAGTCGTCACGACGCGTGGGAGTTTGTTTACCCTCAACACCCTCAGGGATGGAAAGCAGAATGCTCGTGACGAAAGCCTCGCTGTAGTGAGGCTGCTGGAAAACAGTGACCTTCTTGCGAAGACCAGAACTATGGCATTGTCAGCGGTGCGTCTCGATCGAGGATGCAGCGTGCGAGGTGGGAGCTATGGCGGGGTAGCAAAAGTTGGGGTGATTGGCGTTGGGAATAACGTCAGAGGGGAACTTTTCTTGCTTGGGATACGTACGTTCCGGGCTTCTGGTCCTGGAAGGGCTTGAACTCGACAGTCTGAACGTCCATGATGATATGCAATGCCACTTAACGATGGTGCTGGAGGAGGACGAGATGAAGGAGGAAAAGGAGGTTGTTGAGGTTTGGGTTGTCTTTGTAGGTAGGTATGGGTTGAGCGTAGGTACGGCAACTCGAATTGACTGGGCCAGACCAGAGCCGACCAGGGGGCCATGGCTGGTCCAGGTGAATGAGGGGCGCTGGCCTGGGAAGCTTGCTGCGGTGAGGCAGGTGAGTGGCAGCAACAGTGAATCGATAGTGCGATACGATAGGCCAGGATCGATTTTGCTGGATAGTGGGGGTTCACGACTGTTGCTTGGCCAGTGATATCATTCTCAGCGTCGACGTGGGCGGGGTCGCTTCCAGCAAAGGAGGGGCAGCTCTGCTGAGAGGCCCCTCACCCCGCCAGGGGCATCGCATACCGCCTCAGCGCAGGGAATGCTGGCGAATCATTGCGGGGCTGGGGAGCTCGTGTTAACGCACTGTTTGGTGCAGTCTCAATCTGGCTGGCGATACAGTATTCATCCAGTTGGCTTACTGTCACTCGAACTTCTGGTGTTGGTTCATCATCTACTTGCATTCAAGGGGCCACCTCGATTGATCCTATTCAACTTTGATACTCATTCACCAAATAGGTGCATCGTCTACAGCAGGTTGTCCGCCCAAGCCTCGTCCTCGTCCGTCTCGGTCAACGGTGTCTCCTGGGCGCTGCCGTCCCCCCGTCTCCATGTCAATCCAAAAATGGCCTCCCTGTAGTACTTGGCTTCGGCAATGCTCTCGAGGATGTCCTCCTTGGCCTGGTGCAGCCCCTGCTTGACAGGCACGTTGTCCAACACTTGCGTCGGGGCCCACCGTTTCGCCGCCTCCTTGATGGAACTGACGTCCAAGATGCGGTAGTGAAGGTGGTCCATGACCTTCCGGTACGGCTCCTTGACCAGGAATGACCGGTCAGCATGCACGCTGTTGCCGGCTAGTATCGCCGTCCGCTTCTCCGGGACGTGCCGCTTGACGTACGCCAGAAGCTCGTCCGCCGCTTGCTCCGGCGTCGTTGTCGACTTGATGACCGCCGCGGTCAGGCCGCTGTTTCCGTGCGTCCTGGTGCACCAGTCGTCCATCTGTGCCATGCGTTCCTCTGACTGGTGGACCACGCAGCCCCAGCCCTCAGAGTCAACGACTTCTAGGTTGCCAGTTGTGATGATGCAGAAGATCTCAATGATTTCCTCCTTGTCCGGGTCCAGGCCGGTCATCTTGGAGATGTGTTAGCCGGGTTCTGTTTCTTCAGACTGGTCAGACTCACCTCACAGTCGATCCAGACAAGAGGACCGTCCGATGCGGACTGCATCTTGGGTGCGAGCGCTTTGGGTCTGAGAAAGTCCATGGTGGTTGCTGCTGACTGATTCTCTCATGTAAGATTCCTGGCTTCCGGTTGTTCGCGTGACTTAGACGGCCTGAAGGTATTCGCGAAATCTCTTTCTGCAGTAGATAGGCAAGGTAGGCTAGGCCGAGAAGCACTAGGTAAGGTATAGAAAGGACTGCAGCAGGTGGGGTCGAACCGGGACAGCTCCAAACGGTCAAGTGTGGCTGCCCGCATCGTTACATCACTACAGTGGCGCACGAGGCATCTGGCGATCGGGTGGCAGCACTTTTCCACTGAAAGTGACACTTTCATGCCAGGCCAGGTCTTCCCGACTCACCGCCAGAGCCAGAGGGGGAAGCTGCCACCCCGCCATCTCAAACGCGGAGCGTAGCTTCTTGTTGCGCTTTCTTAGATAAGATAACGATAGATAAGATAAGCCCGGCCCGGATACCGGATACCGGGCGCTTCAAATGCGAGACCGTTGATTGGCCAGACGCCGCAGATCACCTCGCTTGGCAATGCGATCCGACAGCTGTAAACCGTCATTGCTCTTTCCCTTCTTCACTCATCCATGCTTATCTGCCTTACCTATCGTGACCGTGTTGGACCTTCCTCGTTTCCTCGACATCAGAGACTACACCGTCCAGCACCAGCTACATAAACCAGAGATTGAATTAGCACCCGTGAAGTCACAAGGTCAAGGGGCCAAGCTCATCCAGAACCAGTGTCCGTCGAGCTACTTGGCGTCCTTCGACAAAGAATCCAAAATGTCATCCATCAAGAAGTCGGGCTCGCCCGTTGCAGTGCCCGCAGAACCCACGATTGTGCCGCCAGAGAAACCTCCAATGTCCGATTCGCCACCGCGCATCCTCATCATCGGCGCCGGCTCAAGAGGCCAGGCATATGCCACCGCAACAGAGACATCCAGCAACGGTGTTGTGGCCGCCGTTGCTGAGCCCATCGCCTATAAGTGCCAAACGTTCGGCCGGAGATATATCTGGGGCTCTAGTCCTCCACAAGAAGGCCAACAGTTCGCGGGCTGGACCGAATTCGTATCATACGAGACGAACCGCCGTGAGAGAGAAGCCGCCGGCGAGACGGTACCACCTGGGGTCGACGCCATCTTCATTTGTGTCCTGGATGAGATGCACCGCGACGTCGTGGTTGGAGTTGCTCCGCTTGGCCTGCACGTGATGTGCGAGAAGCCTCTAGCAACGTCTCTGGAAGACTGTCTCGACATGTACACGGCGCTGAAACCTCCTGCTGGCCAGGAACCCAAAAATGTCTTCTCCATCGGCCATGTCCTCCGCTACAGCCCGCACAACATGCTGCTTCGCAAGTTGCTGCTGGAAGAACGTGTCATTGGCGACATTCTCAACATCGTCCACACAGAACCGGTGGGCTGGTGGCACTTTACCCATTCCTACGTCCGCGGCAATTGGCGGAACGAGAAAACAACTGCCCCAAGTTTGCTAACCAAAAGCTGTCACGATATTGATCTCCTCCTATGGCTTCTCAGTGCCCCGATAAAAGCCGGACAGGGGACACCTCATCTTCCGTCCACCGTATCTTCAAACGGCTCGCTTCAGCTTTTCAGAAAGAGCCGTAAACCTGCAGCAGCAGGAAACGCAACCAATTGTCTGTCCTGCCCGTTAGGTGACAACGGATGCAAGTACTCGGCGAAGAATATCTACCTTGGTCCAGACCTCAAAGGTTTGGCATCGGGGAACACTGACTGGCCCGTCAGCATTGTGCTCCCCGAAATCGAGGACTTCGGGACCGCTTCCGAGCGAAACAAGGTGCTGGCTTCGAAGCTTGCGGAAGACTATGACGATTCGACCCCGAAAGAAGTTGTCTCGTCGCGGAACTGGTTTGGCCGATGTGTGTTTGATGCAGACAACAACGTTTGCGATGAACAGACGGTGACCATGAGCTGGGACGACGTTGCAGCCGAATCTGAAGCGCCTAAGCTCTCCAAGTCAGCTACACTCCATATGGTTGCGCACACAAAGAAAATCTGCGAGAGATATACGCACGTTTATGGCGTCGATGGCGAGATTTACGCCGATTCCCGCACCATCACCATCGAAGACTTCAACACTGGTACCACTCAGACCTATCACCCGACGATTGAGGACGCTGGCCACGGTGGCGGTGACAAGGGACTTGCGCGCCAGTTCATTCTGGCTGTTGACCGCGTGAAGAACCACGGTTGGACCGCCGAAAGAGCGCAGAATGAGTATATCGGGTGCACCCTGGAAGAAGTAATCCGGTCGCACGCCATGGTTTTCGCGGCAGAAGAGGCTAGGACGGGCAAGAAGGTCGTTGACTGGGAGCCTTGGTGGGCAAGTAAGGTTGCCAACACGGGCAACGCTTGAATCAGCTTGCTCTCGGGGAAGACTTCCGTTGTCGTTCTCGGCCAACATCGCCGCCTCTGGCCGATGTGTTGAATACCCAGGACGCCAGGACAGAGGCACGACCATGTAGGAATTGCTCCCGAAGTTGTGCAAAATCAAAGACTGCTATCATGCCGCCGTGTCGGGGACACGTCGCCGACGGTTTCTCCCCGACATGAGTCTCTCGAGCATCAAACTAGCTCTGCGTTGCCAAAGAACGGTGTGAAGGAACGCGTGTGCGCCCCTGCTCTATCGATATTTCATGTGCAGACGTTGGGTTGCCACCAAAGTCATCTCATCTTGCGTCTCATATAGTATGGAATGAGAGTTTATGGCCTGTCTGTCCCAACCGCGGCGAGCTCTGTGGCAGTCGTTGGGGTGAATGGTCAGCTGAATATTGCACTGTTGCTGTTGCGGCATAACCGCTGAGGGGCAGGCCAGACAACGTTGACAACTCGCAAGATCGTCCTCATTGCGCGATCTCATCTTCTGACGATTTCAAGACCTCGAAGACGCCCAGTTTTCTAAACCCTCCCCGGCGGTCTCGTCCGCGCCAGACTTTATGTCCAGACAATATCATCAGATATGGCGGGCTCTTCATCCAGTCGCATCTTGAGCCCAGAAGCTTGAGCACTGGCGCTTATTTATCGATCCTCGGACAGCGTTCAGAGGCAGCACGATTCGATTTTGGCGCGCCTGCTCCCCGTCAAGGTTATGAGCTGGATATTGATGTCCATCTCCGCGATGATCACTGGCAACGGCCGTCCCCGCCGGTCTCTCTCCCCGTCATTGGCAGCAAAGCGATTCTGCCGGGGAGGTTGCCGGCACAGGACATGTCGAATCAATACGGAGCACTCGTTTTCGGGAAAATTGCTTTTGTGTCGTTGAGGCCAAAGGTTGGCGGCTCTGAGAGGCAATGTCTCGAGCCGTTGCAGGCCGTGGTTTGGAACAGTTCCAGAATCTGTCGGCCCTTCCCCGAAGTTCGGATCAGATTGTGCCAAACTGGACCACAATATCTGACAGCCAGGCATATGTCATCTAATTCGCGATTGTTTTCATCGTCAGATCACAGATAATGTGTAATTGAATGCGGAATTTCTTTCACGCAATCCAAAAATCCGTCGAAAGCCGCACCATCTTGGCTCGAAAACAATACGATGTGTGCACAGCATCCATAACACCGCAGGCCATAGTGCCGGTTTGTTAGATGAGCTCCGACGGAGCCAGCCGCCGGTGACATGAGTCGCTCGACTCGGTCCCAACGACGCGACTCCTCGCGAACTCCGGTCTGACGGGTTCATCGGGGAGCGCGTATCCACTGCCAAGCTGAAGCAATATGAACCCCAAAGTCTATTCCCCCATATGCTGAAGACTCCCCGACTCAAACAACGAGAAGTGCCGCTTGCTAGCTTCCCCGAAGCTCAATTACATAGTGCCGCCCAAGCGCCAAGCGACAGCTCCAGAAACCATGACCCGTTTCACAGGAGCTCCCCCTCACCATTGGTGAAGCCATCCCTGCCGCGGCCTGCACGTCGAATCCCAATTCCCAAAACGCCAGAAAAATGTTGAGATAGCGGCGGCACCTTGCCGCGGGGTAGTCAGCCACTGGGCTAACGGCTCCTCAGTTTTGTGCGCCGCGGTACTGCAAGGCTCGGGGTCTGATTCCTTCTGCACATTGAAAGTGCGCTGGGCGGCAGAGTGGCGTCAGCACTTGGACGAGACGAACCTTGTCCTCTCCCAGCCTCCGTCTCGACTTCAACCAGTTGAGCTGAGCCAAGCACGAGACATGCGGCCATCTCCAAAACTTCTGCGGCAAACAAGACGCGCAGGATGCAGCTATTCGTCTTGTGTCAGCTGAGAGGACAACAATGAAGACACACATTGGATCTAAAGCAGTGCCAGCTGGCTAGGGAGGAGCGAAGACACACCGCACCGCGTCGGCGAGTGCCCCCGAGGTCCCGTGCGCCGCAAAAGGCAACGGCCGTAGCATATGCACAACCTGCAGCTGCCTTCATAAAAGACCCCTCCGTCCCATCCCACCTTCTTCCAATCGCAACTCAAAGAAACCGAGGACGGCATTGATTAGTCTTCTCTCGCTGAACATATCAGACGATTCTCCGTCTCCGAACCAACCGAGGAAGCTTTCAATCTCGAAGAATAAGAACCCCTTAGACGCGCACGTCACTTTCGCTCCGTCCACTCGCAACCCACGCTTCTCCCCGTCAGACCTGTCACCGAACCTTGCGCCCTCCCTGCGTCCTAGCTCCGAACACTGGCTTCGAGTCTTGGCACCTTCACCAAAAGAGCACAAGCACTGCCGCCGCAACCATGTCGTCTTCCGGAGCCCCTCCCGCACCGTCCGCCGACGAGCTGCCGTTCGGCCCGGTCTCTCGCCACATCACAACCCACAACGAGCAAGGCCGCGCCGTCTTCTCGGATGCCTTCCCGGTCCACGTCACCCCGGACCCGCTGCCCAACATGTACTTCCACACCTGCTTCACCACCCCGGGCCAACCAATCAACATGGACGGCGAGCAAGACCTGACGGCCTACTCGGCCAACCACCCGCGCATGCCCACGCTCCACCTCCCCTCGGGCAGCGTCCTGCGCGTCGTCGACTTCGGCCCGCACACGGGGCCTATGATGCACCGCACCGAGTCGCTCGACTACGGCATCGTGCTCAAGGGCGAGGTCGAGTGCCACCTCGACGACGGGGCGATGCGCACGCTGAAGGAGGGCGAGATCATGATCCAGAGGGGGACGATGCACGGCTGGAAGAACGCGACGGATCAGTGGGCAAGAGTCATCTTCTGCCTGCAGCCTGCGAAGCCGGTCGAGGTCAATGGCGAGGAGATGAAGGATGATATTCCGTTTATGAAGGTCAGCCCGGAGAGGCAGGCGGATTATGAGAAGTTTATGGCGGAGCAGGCTGCCAAGAAACAGTGAGGCGATTGCATCTGGATGGGGTGGATGAAAAGATGGTGGCTTTTGTGCCTACGCATGACTATAAGAGTATGAATATAAAGCATCAAGACAACTGAGCTGTCGAGACAATGCGGGATCACCTGTGGGAGACTCACATGAGATTTCCGTAAGTCACCTGATGATGATCTGCCCAACAGTGCTCAATTGCACAGATGAACAGAGACTCGTATGTATGTATATATAAGAACCCAATGCCAATGAGAACTCATCGACCAACAGAATCAGATCTTCCTAAATGTCCTTTTCTCAACACATGACATTTACGAGCCTAGCTGTGTACCCCTGAGCTCCATTTGTCAGTGTAAGAAGCCGACCATCGCAGTATCCTAGAGTTCATCTTCGTCGATCACTGCCCATCCCTCATAGATGATGTGACTGTATATTCGGTGAAACGATCCCCGCGCACGTCTAATGAGGGTGTTGGCTCTCGAATTTGGGAACTAGAACGTATGTACAAGCGCAATGGGTTGTTCTTCAATGTAAGCAAGGGTCGTTTACCAACGATTTTTGGCCCCCTTTCTTTGAGGAAGTTAGAGGCCGGGATTATATAGGCACCCAGACCTTGTCGGAAGCGGCGATTGTTCATATATCTAAGTCGGTTATTGTAGTCTGACAGAAGTAGAGAAATCAAATACGGACCCTGGTAGCTGCGTTGTGCTTGAATATCAACCTCTTGATCCTCATTAAGCATCGGTAACCAAGGCGAACTATGACTACCAAAAGACGTCACAATCTACTACCCCAACTGCCACAGACGCAAACAGACGTCCACCATCGTCTACTTCGGTATATTCTTGTCAGATACAGTCTATTCAATGCGGTCTGCGATGCTTGCTTGCCTGGTGTCATCCGGACAGGATGCCTAGAGTAAACCATGTCCCGTCTATAGTGATAGCATAAAGAGGTTCCTAGTGTTCTTCAGAATACCCACGGGTGCACAATTTGCATGCGTGTCACGAAAATTGAACCGGCCGCTGGTTTAAGTTTCAGTCGTTGGTCTGTTGATGCGTCGACGCGTTGCTGGCCCTAGCAACTGAGCTGTCAACCGGGGAGGCAGCGATTCCTGAGATCTCGAACTTGAAATGGTGAAAAACCCCTCTCAGTACGCGAGTATATATTTACACAGTGGGCTGGGCGATTTGGACTTGAACAACAATAAGTCAGACAAGTCCGGCAGTCATCTCTCTCGGTAGCAAAACACAGAGGCTTCTGTGACCAACGACCGTGTCTAGCCTTGAGCCTCATAAGCAAGGCCATTTCTGGGTTTGCGAGGCACTCGGTCTTTTCCGTCGCCGCTAGTTACCGTGCTTTCACCAATTATTTGAAGGCGTATTCTTATCGAATGTACTGTCTTTTCAATACAGCTCTTCTCTAGTATGAGTCCTAAATCTAGAACAAACGCCTCACTCGGTAGGATCTGACTTGCCAAGCAACTGCAACTCAGAAGAGAATTCGAGGGACGAGCTCATTCGCTTGACTAGATCCAACATTTCTGTGTCGTCGGAGATTACTTATACCCTTACACTCGATACCGAACTACGGGAGCACGCGACGGTGTTCACATGACGTACCTGTGGGACTCGCGAAATTCCACGATACTTTGAGTCCGTTTAAACATGTTGTCTTTTGGTGTCACTGGATCTCCAGAGAATTCAAATTGGTCGTGGTTCGCAACCTGCTGACTACGGCGCCGACCCGAAGACCAGTAACTATTACGTCTTAGCTGCCTCCTAGGAGTGAACGCCGCACCTATCCGTCTCTCGCCGTCCTTTAGTGCATATACTTATTTATTCGGTGTTGTGATCAGTCATTCTGTGTGCATTATCTTTAATACCCATAGATAAACAGGAATATTTATCTATCCTTTTAGACCTTCTACATCATCACTAATAGACACATCTCAGCACTTAAACAAACGTCAGACTACAGCTTATATTGGAATTTTGCTTTATTTGATTATCTTTGGATTCTCTAGATCTTTATACGAATAGTTTAAATACACCTATAAATCTTTTTGGTGTAAAGTAAAGCAGAATTTTGAGCTGTGGCACTATATAAAGTCAAAACCAGACAAGTTGCGTGTAGCTTGTGTTAAAGCTTGCATGTGGTCTCCCTAAATAAGTTTAGGGCTAACGACTTCAATATTCACTAGATGGAGCGTGCGACCTACTTATAAAGTAGCTGAGTAGCAGATTCAAGGAGGTAATCGAACGTGAAGGTTGGTCAGTGTCCTATGTTCATGTCACTGGCTCACTTAGTACCTTTGGTCTTTGACTAATCTAAATGGAATGTCTTCCTGTCATAACCTGTAGCAATAGTACACATGTACGCCTTTTGCAGTCCGTCATTTTACGTTGTTGATTGGCTCACATAACATAGATCCAGTATCTTACATCCGCTACTATCTTGCAATGGCTCATGGAGTATCGCTCCGTGCTCTCTACCGCTCTGGTATCTGAACTTTCCTGGATTTGATTCCATACGACCAAGGAACACTCAAAGAAGCCTTGTCACATGCCATTTTGGTGTAGAATAATTCAATTGAAAGGTTTCACAAGAGTAGTTAAATAGGCTATATCAAGCTGCAAAGCAAACGAACTGTATTGCTGTGTCAAAGCCTAGGTTGATCGAATCAATGAACTTAGAAGCTGATTCAGGGTTGAAGTCACCAACGCATGTCACCGGTGAACCACTGATTGATCGACTCAATTGGGTTGACCGAGCCGCGAATGTTGGCCTTAAGACTCTGGACAAGGCATCGGTTCGTAGATATGTAGGATGAACAAACCTTGGCACACGATTTGGTTAGCTGCTAGCGGGAGTTTTCTTCTGTTTCTTGCTGCATAGTGCGGCGAGATTCTCCACATGCCCCTTTTGCAGTCCCTCATCATCATTAGTTGAGGATACAGCTCCCGTATTCGATCACCAATCTCCTCCAGCCTTGGCTGTCTCACTGCGGCGCATTTTAGTCTTACAGTTTTCTCTTTATCATGTCTCCATTGGGCCTTACTCTGAACCACGCTGCGAGAAACATTTACGATTGTTCTAGTGTTGGGTAGGCATGTCACCCGAGAACTCTTCACCATAGCGTTTGGAACTAATAATTTACGGACCCGCGTAGGATATCAAAATCGATGGACGATTACTGGAGAACTTGAGTTGCGTGCTGATTCAATTGATCCGAGCACACTCAGCACACGTATGAATGAATGGGACATTCGTGGCGCTGTGGCTTGCTCTTCTGTGGCGTCCACCAAGATCACCTCGCCGTGGATTTGTCCAAGAATGACGCAGTGCTCAAGATGGGAGCCACTTCAGCTAGCCACGATTCCCGGCGGCGACGTAAAATCAGCCGGCAAGAGGACTAGTATCTGACCACGGGCGGGGGCTCCTTGGTTGGGGCGCCTGTTGGGAAGAGGGACAAGGAAAAAGCAAGGGTTAAAAATGACCGGACCACAGGGAAAAGAACCGGCTTGCAAAAGAAAGCCATCTGAATCAGATATCACATTGTGTGTTTACTCGATGTTGATTTATGAGACAATACAAGGCCGTCTGTTCACATTGTGCTACCGTCAGTGCTCATATCGTGGTAGTGGACAATGGCTAGACTGTATCCAGTACCACTGCCACTGTCTTGGGATAACGACCGCGGCCGATAGACCTGGCTGTCTTTCTTTCCATGCGCCTGTTGACCGAGTCCTTCCTTTTGGGTGTTTCAACCAGACAGCCGCCGTTGTTATCAGCGGCCGGAGCAATACGCGTACCTTGCTCAAAGGACGGTGGTTCTATGGTTGGTGGCACGGTCGCGACTTCGCGGCTAACGCCTAGGTGGCCGGCCCCTGGCAGCGCCTGCCAAGAGAAGAGGCAGATCCACGCTGGAGGCCCCGAAGCATGCCGGTGTCATGGTGATTCTAACATCTTGCCTAAGGATGGTGATCTCATGAAGCAAGAAGCAGGTGATGTTGGATGAAAAGACCAGGCCCTGATGTCGTGGGCGAATGGGCGAGCTTCCCAAGTACTTAGTAAGGCACCTACCTAAAGCACGGGGATAGAGTTATCGTCGGGCCGCCGCCCCCAGCGGCGCTTGATACGGAGTTTAGCCGAGTTCGCCCGAACGCGTCTGAGGTGGTGGTCTGATCACCTGATTTAGGGGGATACATCAGCAGCACAGCTGACGTGACGGACCGCAGCAGAGAGTCATCAGTCATCGCTCCAACAAGGTTCCCCTCCGAAAGCCCAGAAAGAAACAGCCCAAAGGTGACAGATCTCAACGCCGCCTTGCTTATTCTCGCAATATCTATCAGATCAACATTGTGCCCCCAGTGGGTGCGTCCCCGCCCGCAAGGCAAGGCAAGGCAAGGCAGCCCTCGTATCCACTACCCCGAGTACAACTGCGCTGTACCCCTGATCCACCCCGAGAAAGTGGGTCATCCACGGACCGTGAAGCAAAAAAAAAAAAAAAATTGGACATGCCGTTCTCACTTCCGTCTTCATCTCATCTCAACAAACAACTCCCTCTCACAAACAGCAACCTCGTTGTCCAACGACCGCGGCCTCCGTCGTCAGTCGACACCTCGGTCGCACTCACTACAACGAGCGCCTTCTTCTTCCCCGTCGCTGACCACGACGGCCACGGCCACGCGCACAACTACACGCAGCTCCTGCTGCCCACGCAAACCGCGACCTTCACCCAGCCGCCGCAACCGCAACCGCAACCGCCGCCGCCACCACAGCAGCAGGAGCAGAAGCCCAGCATGCCTCGACGCGCTGCTCCGGAACCCAAGCCGCGCAAGCCGCAGTACTCCCCGGAGAAGCGCGCGCGCATCGCCGTCCTCTCGGAGCTGGGCATGTCGCTCAAGGAGATCTCCATCAAGGAGGACGTCCCCGTGTCCTCCATCAAGGGCATCGTCACGCGCTACCGCCTCCAGCAGGCCGGCCGTGACCGCCCCCGCCCCGGACGCCCGCGCATCCTCTCCGACCGCGACGTCAAGACCGTCCTGCGCGTCCTCAAGGAGAAGCCCGACATCTCGTACGCCGAGCTGAAGCGCGACGCCAACCTCACCTGCGCCACCAAGACCCTCGTGCGCTATCTGCAGATGGAGGGCATCAAGCCCAACAAGCCGCCCCCGGGCGACTCCGAGGAGGAGGCCTCGAGGATGCGCGTGCTGGCTGAGCCTGAGCCTGCCGACGAGGAGTGAATGGCCCACGAGAGAGCCAGTTCTTCACGAAGCAAGCCGAGTCTGAGGATGAGTCGTCGTGCAAGCGATGAGATTCATCGGGCTTGGGCTTGGGATTATGAGTGGCAACTTCTTATGAGACGGACGACTTGTAAGCGACGCTTGCGGGAGAGTCACACGTGCATGAGCTGATGAGTATGACAGAATGAATATGATTACCGAAAGGCGAGGAGCAGGGAGTTGGGCGTTACCGCCACCATGCCGGGGGTTCACCCCAGGCGATTGAGTTTTGAGGAGCAGCATCATTAGCGAGAGCGCAGCCGCGAACAGGACCGGCAGACGGTGTACAGAACGTCAGCTTCAATTGCTTCAATTCCAACAACCCTTCGACTTTCCTGCGCATGCGCGATGAGGCGCATGCTGAGTAGATCCCGCATGAGCGGCTCTGCGCTGGTCAGAGGAGGGGCTCTCATAACCATCTGACGTCAACTCATCTGATGGACAATGGTCTTGGGAGGATGTGTATCGAATAGACGAACCAAAAGACAGAATTATGGCTACAAATCAACCAAGTATTAAGAGATTCATCAAAAAGAAAGAACCCCGCTCACTCACCTAGTTATTCGTGTCCTTCGGTCACATTAACTTGTCGACATGAGCCAGGTAGGTCATGCCGCCTTTCTCCTGAGAGCGATCCTTGGGCAACATACCTTGAATCTTAGCCCTCACTCTCCACATCCCCCAATCCACATCAACGACCCTGCGATCAATAAACACCAACCGGCCGCCCTCCCTCACAGCCCCGCAAAACACCTTGACCCAGTTGACCTCCCCGTCAACCTCCCACTCGTCCACCTCCCAGTCACACAGCTGCCAGCCCGGCGGCCGCACATACTTACCGCCGCTCCGCAGGCCCGCGATGACCAGGTCCTGCAGCCGCAGACAGCGGCTCATCTCCGCCGCGCCGCGCCGGATGCCGTCGTCCTCCGGCTTGCCACGGGAGCCGCGGTGCCCGCGCCCGTACGACCGCAGGTCGAGGAACACCGTCTCCAGCTGCGGCATGACGCTCCAGTCCACCTGCAGCATGCTCGCGCCGGCCTCCACGAAGAACCGCATCCCGAAGCCGATCTTGGGCTCGGGGTTGCGCCGCAGGCGGAGGCGGAACCAGGGGTCGTTGGGCACGCTGTGGAACATCAGGTGGCGCGGCAGCTCGCACATCTGCATTTCTGCTGTCGGTGCTGGAGGGTGGTCGAGCTTGTCTTGTTGTTCTACGGGGTCATACTCACCAAAGACCAGGCCGCCGTGTGCCATGTACTTACCTATATCATCGTCGGGCGCTCGTGGGAAGATTTGGTGATAACATTGAAGTCGGGTTCGCTCCAGGTCTTTCAGAGCCCAGTCCATGGCCGCAGGAAAACGTGACTTGAGTTCTTCGATGGTTCGACATGGGATATTATTTTTCAGAGGGAACGAGACGTGGTCCCCCTCGCGATGCACGTTACCAGACACGAAAGTCCCTTGACCGCCATTAACTCCCCGGGTGTAGACTTCGGTCCTCTGTAGATCATACGCGGCGTTCACTGGGTCGTTTCCGTGAGAACAGACGCCCCATTCTGGGACAAATAGAGCAAAGACACAGGGGCTGCTGGTCGAGAGAAGTTCTATCAAGACGTTGTGCTGGAGTTCGACTGGGAGGTTAGTTAGTCGGTCAATGACAGAAGGGCTAGGAAAGCCGGCCATGGTCGATATTTGCTTCTCTCGGCAGGTACTCAACCATAACGAGGCTGAGGCTAAATGTCGAGGCTGATTTAGTGAGGTAATCCAAGGCCTCTTATACCCCAGATATTAAATTCTCCTTGATTCTTGTCACAGCGTGGTCGATCACGGCCTGGCCCGCTTCTTTGTTCTCTATGCCACCACAATGCCCCAGTTCTTCAGCCTGAGAACAATGCCATTGAAACTCGGGCCTTGACCCTCGAGACCTGTAGGCCTGGACCTGATCAAAGCCTCGAGCAGTGCGGGCCAACCAACTTGTTCTTGCCTCTGCTCCTGAACACGCAGTCAGCGGTGATTGGCTCATAGAGCTTCCACGCGTCTGCAAGTTTCGCCCCAGCCAACAGTCTCGGGTAAAGGGCTCATGGAATTCGTACTCGTATGCCAAGACTCAAATACTCAGCTGGTCAAGCATGCCCCCCGTCAATGTGCTCCTAAAGCTATCGTCTAGAGCTGCAGAATCCCGGAGGCTTGACAAGCCTCGTCGTCGGAATATAGTCAGCTGCTACTCTGGTGCCTTTATCTCCAACTTATCCGGGAGTTAGAACGACAGAAACAATCGACGATGACGTTGACCAGAGCTGAAAGCTGGTGTTGTCTCATTGATCAGTATCAGACACCCGAACCCGGGGTCCTTGCTCGTACTGCCTGCCTATGGGATGGGCTCAAGGATGGCATCTCTTTCTCTCTGCAATAACTCCAGCCACATTTATGTGGTGCTGGATGTAGACCTTGGTGATCAGCACTGTTAAAAGACCCCTTATCGCCAGCTGCCTGAGAGTAGGTAAACATTGATGATGCCGTCTTACACTCGAAACAGGCTACGAAACTGGACGGCATTCAATACTATTATACTTGCAATACTATTATGCTTGAATGCTTACAGCGCGGTATAAAAACCGATCTTTTACTAGATTGAGATGGAGATTGCAGAAATGGGGCTTGTAGTTGTTCGCGTTCAACCGTCAAATATACAAGATCATGTTATACAGATCCACTCCCGCTACGCACGCCATGTCTGTTGTAATAAAAATTTCCTACTGAAGACCGATGTCACTGTTGCTACTACATGCTACAATTCGGAATACTCCTGGAGGTCTAACGTCTATAGACAGAGCCAACCTCATTAGGCATTCGGGCTACTTATTATAACCGTTCATGAAAATGTTCATTGCTGTCATACTCTTTTTCATCAAGAAGAAAATCTCTCCTCCCTTGTCAATGCTTAGACCGGAGAAGGTCCCGCCCTGAGTGCCACACACCCTTCGCACCTCGGGCAATCTCGTAGCGTCCGTCATACAGAGGGTATACTACAACCGCGAAGAAAGCAAAGAACTGCCAGATGATAGCCACCGTCGTCCAGCTCTTGAAGAAAGTCTTCTCAAAGATGTAGTCGCGATACAGCGGCATCGGCCAGAGAATGAAGGTGACGAGGACGATGCCGACGAACATGTACCAGGCAATGCGGTACCACTTATACAGCAGCGTGATCGTGTCTTCGTCGAACGGATGACGAACGTCATCTAGATTGACCTCGCCATTCAGAATAGCATCCCTTGAAAATACCGCAGCTGGAGCCTTTTCGTTTCCAGCCGTGGCTGCCGTTCGTTCCGGGTCAGACGCCTTTTCGGGACTCAGCAAGGAGGGTGCGGGTCGTTGTGACTCGGAAGTCGATGAGTTGTTGCCATCGTCGGTGTCCTTCTCTGCTTCGGTACTTCGTTTCAGCTGGACTTCCTCCGCGATTTCTGTGAGCAGGAACCTCCTCCAATCGAACTTCTCAGGCTTGTACTGCGAAAGCAGAACCGAGTACAGAGCAGGCGAGAAGAAAGAAGCAGTTGCCCCATACAAGGCAGGCAAGCTTCCCTCTGTTGTCTTCATATTGATCTCGCCGTAGATTACGTGGGCTGTTCCAAGCCAGATGCCCAGTCCGGTGAGGAAACCTAGGATGGGGGAGACGATTGCTGCCAAGCGAGTCTGACCTGACCAGCACAGAGTCAGACCCAGTGGAATGATACCAGGACAGGACAAAATCGGGCGGAAATAGCCGATCCATGTCATGTCGGCGCCTCCGTAGTTCAGAGCTAGTGAGATGGCAGTAATGAAGACTGCGTGAAAGACGACGGACAAATGACTGACGTGCACCAGCTTCTTGTCTGAGGCTTTGGGGTTGATGTAAGTCTTGTACACGTCGAATGACAAGATGCTGCTGACTGCAATCATAGATGACGAGACGGTGCTCGTCAGTGCCATGAAGACCAAGACTAGGAAGGCGTCGATTCCCTGATCACCGATCAGTGCCTTCACGGTGTAAGGCATGACAAGTCCTGCGTTGACCTGCGCCAGTGTAAATTCTTGCGGATAGGCAGGCCAAATCGGCGTGTTGTGAAGCGCTCTTGCAGTGAGACCGATGACGGTTCCGAGACCCCATGGGATGCCAAAGATAGCTGCGGCCGCCAGGTTGTATCCAGGAACGGTGGCGTTTACTTCCGTTGCGAAAGACTTTTGCCAGAAGGCTGTGTCCTGTTGAAAGGGTCAGTCTCATAGTCATAGGGATACTAGAGTTGAAAATACGTACCATCACAACAAGAGCCAAGTTACCAAACTTCAGAATCAATCCCCAGATGATTGCATCTCGGGACTTCATCGTAAGCAAAGACCCCTTGTAGTTACCGTCGATCATGTTCTCCGAAGCCGTTGCTACAACTTTGTCGTAGAGACCTCCAAGGCCACCGACAGCATCGTGCGTGAGGACTTTGAGCGTGAAGTAGATGATGAGGACCAGAGCAATCAGCGTGTGCAGGTAGTCGGTAATGAAGGTGGCCTTGAGTCCGCCAACAGCAGTGTAAAGCACGACTACATCGCAACTCGTTAGTTTCAAGTTTCCATTAAATCTGCAGGTAATACCAACCTCCAAGTGGGATGAGAATTGTTGCAGCCACAAAGTGCATCCCGGAGATACCGTAAATAAGCTGTGAACCTGTGAGGATCATGCCTGCACAGCCAAAGACGTTGTTCGTGATATTGAGCACAATGAACACAATGTGCCCAATCCAGCCGTAGCGCATTCGAATGATTTCAAGTGACGTGTGGGCGTATGGAACCCGGATCTTTGCCAAGACGCCTAGAGCCGCCATCAGAGCGATCTGGAAGCAGAGACCTGTTGACCACCACTGATGACTGTTTTAGTGACCACTTCGAGAGAAGAGTGAGTTGAACGTACGAAGGGCACTGCAAGGCCAAATTTGTAACAGAAAGCCGCCGAGAAAACCGTTTCGTTAATCCACATCCACGAGGAAAAGACCGCCGACGCCGTCAATCCGGTTCCGACAGACCGGTTGGCCACCATGAACATCTCCGAAGTGCCCGAGTCTTCGGCCAGGTATGCCTTTTGGATCTTGACGGCTGCGAGAATGACACCGCAGAACCCGATGCCCAACCCGATCAGCATGCCATAGCCGGTCGACTGGGGGATCAGGGTCTCCCCCGACACGCCCAACTGAACCGACATTCTCAAAGCCTTGTCTTTTCTTGGTACGGAGAATAAAGAGGTGCGCCAAGGCAACTACAGGCAGAATGTTGGCTCGAGGACCCGTGGGCCATTCTTGGCCTCCTTGGCCCAGGAACACCCTCTCTTAAGAATGATCGTGGGTGCAAAGCTTGACTTTGACCCGAGATCGGTATCCCAGAGGCCCAGTTCTCGGTCACATCTTAGATGCCCCGCATTGCGTTATGTGAACTCAATCCATGTCGAGAGCTACCCTGATTATTCACTTGTATAAATTCAATTCCGGGTCCATACCACAGGAGCAAGTTGGGGGCTGTTGTGGCAGAAGTTGGTGGTATCGGAGGATTTCGTGAGTGGGGGTCGACGTCTCGGTAGATCGCAATCGGTTGCGTGCGATGGTGCAATATGTCGAAAGAGCCACCCATGCGTAATCCCGCCAAACCTATTGGATCTTTGTGGTTTCAAAACACGCGCGATCGGCAATCCTTCAAGACGAGATAACAGGATAAAGTTATGACGGTAAATCCCAAGACTCGAGCAACGGCGTCCTCGCGCGTCTGTTGAACGCAATTTTCTCCGTTCAGAGAATCTAATAGCGCTTGGCTTGAAAACATATTCAACATGACCAACACGACGAACCCTTCTTTGAGCGAAAGCACACCCAAAGCCAAAAAGCAAATCATTCTCAATGCCTTTGTAATGAACACCCCCGGCCACTTGGCCCCGGGTCTGTGGAAGCACCCGCGGAACAAGACCGACCAATACAAGAAACTCTCATTCTGGACCGAGCTCGCACAGTCGCTAGACGACGCAGGCTTTCACGCCATGTTCATCGCCGACACCCTGGGCCCCTACGACGTGTACAAGGGTCCGGCGAACGTGGTCCCGGCCCTGGCCGCCGGTGCGCAGTTCCCCGTCAACGACCCACTCTACTTGGTTCCGGCCATGGCGGCGGCCACCAAGAACCTCATCTTTGGGGTTACCGCGAGTTTGACCTACGAGAAGCCTTATTCTCTGGCACGCAGGCTGTCGACGGTGGACCATCTGAGCGAAGGACGGCTGGCATGGAACATTGTCACTTCATATCTGGACAGCGCCGCGCGAAACCACGGCTTGCAAGAGCAGATCCCACACGATGAGCGTTATGCAATTGCCCATGAGTATCTAGAGGTGCTTTACAAGCTCTGGGAGGGCAGCTTCCGCGACGATGCAGTCTTGGTTGATCGCGAGAGCGGGACTTACATCGCCAGCGATGCGGTCAGTCAGATCCATCACAAGGGCAAGTACTTTGAGGTACCAGGACCGCATTTCGTCGAGCCGTCACCACAGCGCACGCCGTTCCTGTTCCAAGCTGGTGTCTCCGAAGCTGGAAATGGTTTCGGAGGCAAGCACGGTGAAGCGATCTTCATCGGCGGTCAAACTATAGAAGGCGTCCGGAAGACGGTGGACAATCTTCGGAAGATCGCAGCCGAGGAGGGCAGAGACCCCAACCACATCAAAATCATCTTGGGCATCAACGTTATCGTGGCAGCAACAGATGAAGAGGCCGAGGCAAAGAGACAAGACTACCTAAAGTACGCCGATACCGAAGGAGCCCTCGCGCTATTCGGCGGTTGGACGGGAGTCGACCTGTCCGGATACCCAGATGACGAGGACTTTCTCATGACCGACTCTCCTCGCATCCGGTCCATCGTTCGTCGCTGGTCCGACACCGTCCCTGGTACAGACAATCTTCCCTGGACGAAGAGGCGAATCGTTGAGTACCTCAGCATCGGCGGCATGGGCGCCAAGATTGTCGGCAGTCCGACGACAGCCGCTGATGAGTTGGAGCGATGGGTTCAAGGAGCCGATGTTGACGGTTTCAACTTGGCTCATGTTACGAACCCCGGTACTTTCGAGGATATCATCGAGCATTTGCTTCCTGAACTGCGTAAGCGCGGAATCTTTAGGTCTGAAGTCGAGAAGGAGGGAGCGACAGCAAGAGAAGTGTTCATTGGGTCAAGGAGGCTGCCTGAAGACCACCCAGGAAGCAAGTACAAATGGCAGGCTGGTGAGGATAGACCACCGTTTTTGGGAAAGCAAGACAAGAAATCAGGCCAACTTTAGTCTTTAGAGCGCCTCACGGGCTCAACAGTATGCATCCTGTGCACTTACACGTTACACATGAATCTTATGTACCTAGAAATAAACCCTTTTATCGGGCGAAGCTATTAACACCCTTCTATAATTCTTTCGCCGAGTTACCGAAAAAACCAATCCATTGGGGCTATCGCTCTTACTGCTGCTTACTTGGGTTTGTGTTCGCGGTTATGGACTCTTGCTGGCTGGGTCAGTTATGCCCGTAATATGAGGGGAGGATTAGCCTCCGAGGTGAGGATACTTGAGGGTTCAATAGAATCTACAAAGTTGTGCTAGCAAGTCTGGCCCCTCCCGTGTGAGCCGAAGACTCGACAAGAAGTAGTCCACACAAACGACAATGAGCGCACTCTCTGATTTTGACACCTTTAGCAAGGTAAGTAACACCAAGAATGACTACATCCAATTCCACATGGATTTCATAGAACTTTCGCAGCGGCGCTGCCATTGTCACATTGACACGCACCAAGTCGAGACATCGCGTTGTGTATATTTATGCTTCCCTGTGAGATCGCGCGTCAATCTTACCTCCATGGGGCTCTATCGGGTGATTCAAGCTAGGCGAACAAACTGGATTTTCTGAATTCGCCTCATTTCTCAAGTCTCCAATGAAAGCTACAAATGTTACAGATTCTAACAGTATTGCTATGAAGACGCAAATCGGTGCTCGGAACCGACGAACACACTGGCTGCTTGGCGCATTTGAATACACTCGTGATCCGTATCGCGACAAGACAGTCACGAAATGGGCATCGCCGCTCTTGTCTCAGACCACTGAAAGCTTCACTGGCGTCTTTCACTACCTATGATATCGTCAAGAATACCCACCAGGCATGAGTGGCCAGCCACAAGTCAGTCCTGTCAGTGATTGACAAGCGTGGTGTTCTGGAAAGCGTTACAGGAGATAGCTGAGACAAATGCCCGAACGGATGTTCCATAACAGCGCCCCAATGCTCTGAAGAGAAGGCAAAGTAATTGGCATTCTTAAACACGATTTACAGTCTGATTCCTATGCCATGCCGCCAAACAGTTTCTCAAATTACGCCCTATCTTCGGCTTAGACTCCCCACAAAAGAGAAAGCTGCTCTTGATTGGCTTCTCGGCCCATAATCGCGAACACCAAGCGAAAAGCGTGTTAACATAATTTAGAGTCGTACGGGAAGGAGGCACATGAGAAAACTGAAGATGCTACCATGCTATTAACCGACTACTTTCCATTCTGTATGTCGGCTGTGAAGTATTCTAGAAGAAATGATGACCGACTACGACAGCAATCAAACAATAAACCTCGGTCTGTATTGACATCAAAACCTGGAATGTACGTAGCCGACGCAACGTCGCGCTCTGTGCAGGAATTCTGATTGAGAATGAGCGGTCCTCTACGACGCCGATGTATGCTGCAGTGTCTCCTTTATCAAGGCTTTCAGATTTATAGTGAAGATCACGCGCGAGAGTATGAATCTACAGTGAATTTGACTCTATCCCAATGAGTTATGTGTCGTATTTGAGTAATCAAAACTCACGCTAAATCGCAACTGGACACGTATTCTAACGATGGTTATCAGCGCATCTCACATTCGACTTCTTGCCAACAACGCAACCGATGATGACTTTTCGGACCACGCGCGAAACTTCCCATGATGCTCTCAACTGAGAGGGAATCATGTTGAAACACTTCTCTGTTCAAAGGCAGGCTCAGCGGTGTCGTCCTTCTTTACCGACATATACAGCCTCAAATACTCTGCAGATAAAGGTGCCAACCGCTGTGTATTTAACACCTTTAAACAACGAGACGCAATATACTCATGAAATGACGCAAAAAGACGCTGGCTCTCTAGGGTCTTGGTCTCATGTCCTAGGGTATGGCGAATAAGCAGGCTCGGATTGTGCCGTTTTCCTAACAGACGAGGAGATCTAGGATCCTTAAATACTTCTTCTACCACCCTTCGCTCTTCTCGGCTCGTTGAATCACCTTCATTTACAATGCCGATAGACATTCGACGTCATCGTTCCCGAGGTGTATTTAAGATAGATGCAGAGGCTTTCTTGAGGCTGCCCAAGACAGGACAATTGTTCGGTGCAGGCTGCGATGTGTTGCTTGGTCGAACGCTCTGGCGACATTCTTCTTAATTAGAAGCTCCGTGACGAAAAGCTTTCAAAAAAAAAAAAAAAAAAACAGAATCGCTCGGACGCCGAACCACACACATCATCCGTCGAGTATTCGCACAGCATACACTGAGCCCAACAGTGTCCACAAAGCAAAACAGAGCACGCCTTGCATAGGGCAATCGACCTGCGGCTTTTCCAGCAGATTGACCAGGCATTGCTCCTTATCTTCAAGGATGAATGCACATCTCATGAGCGTGAGAATCAAGCAATCACTATCACGATTTTGCTGGCATTCAACATGCAAAGAACAAGTGCCATATTTAAATAGTAATCTTGACAACACGATACGGTCAATACCGACGACTCCTGCACTACTATTAATTACAATTTCTTCGGGCAGGTAGGTACGTTTTCATATGTCCCATCAATATGTCAAAAGTGCTTGCTGAATGCCAATCCACCAATCAGAAAAGTCCTTTTCAAAACTCCGCCGGTCGCCGCCAGACTCGGGTGAGAGTGGGTCACCTCGGTCCGTGACCCGGAGCTTCGGTATCCTTTGTCCGGCTCACCTGCCTATTCGCTGTGTCACCAATGAGTCGTACCAAAAGCTCCTAAAAACTGTATTTTTCAAACATCTATCAAAACTTCATCCCACTTACCGAAAGGTACAATAGCACCCAACTCCAAGAACCAAAACTAAATCACGACGAAATCTACCTGCGTCAAGGACCATAAATGTCAGGCTCCTCCTCCTCACTCACCTTAACCTGCCCACCTTGCACCTGCTCTACAATCTCCCCAACAAGTGGCCCAAACCCCTCCTCCGCCATCCCCATCCCTCCCATATCCACCTCATTCGCCTCTATCGTCTCCCAATCGTCCAACAAGTGCATCGCAGCCCCCTCCCGGAGAGGATCAGGCTCAAAGTTCATACACTCCCAAAACACCGCATCCCCCTTGTGCAGTCTCTCCTCGCACACCCGCGCCTCGGTCACCAGTCCCAAATCAACCAAGAAGTCAACAACATCGTACTCCCCCTCCGCGCCCTCCTCCTCCTGCGCCCACGCCAACAGCCGGATGACGCCCATATACTCCGCCGGCGCCACGTCCCGCGACCACTCCAGCAGCCGGCAGCAGATCTTGGCCCACGCCGTAATCCACTCCATGTCCAGCGTCCCCGCCGCCTCGCGGAACTCCACCGTGTCGTGCTTCGCGTTGAAGAACATCCGCCCCGTCTCGCGTTGCTCCGGCACCGCCCCGATCGTCTGCATGTACCCGAGCGCGTACCCGTCGAACTGGTAGTTGATGTGCTTCCCGATCACGTTGCGCATCATCTCGCCAATCTGCGCCGACGTCATGTCCGCCGCCAGCAGGTCCCGCACGCCCGACATGACGTCCGTCCGCTTGGGGGCCACGCGCGGCGCCGGGTTCTCGAGGGGGCCGGCGTCGTGGCCATAGACGTCGTAGCGCATCAGGTACGGCTTCAGGAAGTCCGGGTCGTCGCGGCAGTCCCGCCTCATCGTGCCGGGCACGCGGGGGTACTTGCGCTTCAATGGCGACGGCCGCGGTCGCGGCGGAGCAAACTTCTCTGCCGCGGAAGCCCTGTGCTCCTCGAAGTCCGCCGGTCTCGGGACAGGCGCCTCGTAGTCAAGCACCGGCTCTCCGAACTCGTCGGTCGGCTTAGAAGCAGGCCCCTTATTTACGACAGGCGGGGGAACCTGCGGTCGATGAGTCCACGGCTCCGACTTCAAGACGGCCGCGTCATCTTCTGTGTACATCTCCATCTCTCGCAGCATCTTGTCTTCGTCAGCATCCGCAACCGGAGACTCACCAAGCCATCGATCCCTTCCGAGATACTTTACCTTGCCCATCCAATTTGCGGGGAACCCAAACGGGCGACCCTTCTCCAACTGCTCCAAGAGGCAATCAGAAGGGCCCTCGTTAGCTCCCACCCTGTTGATCCCGTTGACGCGCGCTGACTGGCTGTACTTCGTGATCGCTCTCCAAGGTGCGTGGAGTCTACTGATGAACGGGTCAGCAGCCCACAGTAACGCGGCAAAGTTCCTCAGCGTTCTCGGGTCAATCCTCTCGGTTAGACCGTTGCCCACATGTACGTGAAAGCCACAGGTCGGATTCACGCGGCATCGAAATTGGGTCGTGATCGTGCTCACTGCTAGGCGAATCAAATCGAACGAGATTGGCATGTCGTACATGGCGGGGGAGTTCACTTCGACTTTCGTTATCAAGTAATTTTCAGGCCTGAATTCGCGGAGTGAGCAGTCGTCCACTATCCTGAATGCAGACATGACTTTTTCGCTATGGCTTGCCTGGACGGATCCCGGGACCATTTTCTCTTTGCTGCCGAAGACGGGCAGGCCGGCTTTGATTAACGCTTTTCTTATCTGTTCGCGAACCCAGTCGTCCGGGATCTTGTGTTTACTCTTATCTGGGAATTCTTCGTCGTATGGGACGACAGACAGTGGCTGAATGTCATTTTTGATGGGCTCGTCGGGATCGGGGCTGCCTTCGAAAACGTATGCAACAAAGAACTCGAGCTCGACGCCGAATGAGACGCGAGGAGCAGTTGCGGCTATCTGTTTCCCAGGCATGGTGATGTTTGGGTGAGTTGGTTGCGTTTTCTGTGAGGGTAGATGGATCTGCTTCAGTCAATGATGCAGTGGTTGCGAAGAGCTGGTTGATTTACTGTCGGGAGGACGATACTGGCCACCGACCACTGGGTATTATATCCATCGCGATGCCTGGTGTAGCTCGGGTTGCTGAACAAGGTGATTGTGTTGACATAGCAAAAGAACTGTCTGTGAATCAGACATCTATCATTGCGCTTTGAGCTGTCTGCAGTGTCGTAAAAGAACACTATCAGCGAACCGTTGACAACGTGGCCAAGTCTTGACAACCTACCTTTGTTGGGCAGGCCTTACAAATAGTCTATGGCGGGAGGCAGATGGCCCCGAAACGTGTCAGAAGGGACAGGGGATTGCAGAACCAATTCTTCATTTCTTTTGTCGTCGTCTTGACTGTCTTTGATCATGCCTAAACGCGAAATGCATAGCAAACATTGGGTAACACGACCCATCCCCCGTAACGCACTGACTCCTCCTCGAACTTCAAAATACCATACGGGTGGGAATATCCATCGTCTCCATCGCATAATTCCACGTATTCCTCATCAAAATTAGGGTGCCGCGTGGCAAGCACGCGGGATCGGGTAGTAGGGAAGGTGAATACAGAGAAGTGAAAGCGGCTGCAAGCTCGCCTCGTATTCAAGGCGAAACCACTGCTAAATTGGGCAGCCATGATCTAGAAGATGTGCATCTAGAGCATGTAGGCGAAAAGACCAATCGCAGCAACGGCGGCAGCATTGCCATAGCGGGGAGCGGCGGTAGGGGCGGCGTAACCGGATGAGCTGGAGGAGGCGGGGGTCTGGGAAGCCTGGGAGCCGGTGCCAGTGCCGGTAGTCGAGCCGGAGCCGGTGCCAGTAGCGGCGGCAGAGGTGGTGGTGGAAGAGGCAGCGGAATCGGCCTGGGCGTCGATGGTACCGCACTGGGACTTGATGGAGTCGGTGCAGTTGGTCTGGCCGCGGGCGTTGCCGACGTTGGCAGCGATGCAGTCCTCGAAAGCCTGGTTGCAGATGAAAGTGGGAAGGGTCTGCTCGTAGTACTCGAGTCCGGGAGCGGTGCCGTTGGAGCAGGTGCAGGTGTAGTTCAGGGTGGCCTGTAAAGGTGGAGTCAGCTCGGTTGGATCACAATGGGTGCTGGGGTTGTTGCGCCAGGTTTGCGACAACTTCAGAGGCGACTGGCGACTCAATTGGCGCAGTCTGAAGGAATAGAGGGCAACTTACGGGATCACACTCGTTGGCAGTGGCGCGGTTGCAAAGGACATTGCAGACGTTGCGCTCACCAGTGCACCAGGAAGCTGTAGAAATGGTCTGTTAGCACCAAGGTCTAGTTGTGATCGGTAAGGCCGGCCCCGACATGAATGGAGCCGGGACTTTTTTCCCTCGTATTCTTGGGGCCAAACATACCTCTGGTCTGAAGGTTGACATTGGCGACATTGATGTCAGCGGCAGAGTAGACCTTGCGCTGGGCAGAGACAGCGGTGACGGCCGAGATGGCGAGCACGACGAAGGAAGTACGCATGTTGACGGTGGTGATTGTTGTTGTTGTTGGGTGTGTGGTGATGTGGTGCGGAGAAAGTTTGTTGGGTTGATTTCTGTGGCAGAAGAAGACTGGAGCGTTGTCTGGTAGGCAAGCAAGCAATATTCGGTCCAAGAATCGGATAGACGGCGGTGAAGATGTTTCTTTGCCTGATCTGCTTCGTGGGGATGTTTGACGAACGTTGGACGGGAGAAGAGAAGAGGTCAGTCTAAACAGAAGGGCGAGATGGGCAACGATGTGGTTTTATTATGACGGGAGGCAAGCATGCAGTCAGTAGGAAGGTAGGTACCTTCTGCAGTCGGTCGGTAAGGCAGGTAGGCATTGGGTAGGTACCTTTGGAGCAACAACAGCGACAGCGGTGGCGGCAGCTGCTCCAGCAAGTCCCCAGTCCCACGTTCTTTCCGTGCCTGTCTCTCCGATGCGGTAAGCGCGATGGGGAATACTGGCTGGACTAGAAAGCAGGTGCAGCTTTACAGGGTGTCCTGGTGGAACAGAAACCGCACCTTCCCTCTTGAAGGGGGAAAGAATGGCAAGCCGGCCGGGCAGGTGCCGCAATCAAAGCGTGTGCGTACGCAGTAAGGTGTGTTGCGGCTTGCCCGCTCGCCCTCACTTTCCCTCGCTTTCCCGTCCCTTCCCTTCCTTCCCACGATGATTCTTAGTCGCAGGTTGCTGGTCTTGGCTGCTGCCCACAAACAGGGTGTGTATTCGTGCAAGGGTGGGCGCACTAACAGTGAGGTGTGTGGCTGGGGTCCACACATCACTGAGGACGGCGGGTGGGGGGGAGAGGGGAACCTTCCTAGCCAGGTACCTACCTTAATGACCAGGAAGTGTGTCTAGCGCGGCCTTGGCGTGTCTTCTCCAACGCGCCCGCCGTACCTCCGCCGTATCTCTTCGAGTTCCCACCGAGAAATTCGCATTCTGATCAAGTGCTGGGCGACTTTTTCTCGTTCCTTGTTGTGGTGAAAGGCGACACCGAGGCGAGGCGCGAGGTCAGAACTCTGCTGCCCGACTGGCCACGCATCGCCCACCAAATCACTCACTCACCGCGATGGACCGTCATCATATCCATCTGCACAGACAGCCAGGCCGCACCGGGACGGACTCTTATCGGCAAGGGCGGTCGCGAACCGTATGGCCGGGGTGGTACGTATCCGAACATCAGATACGCTTGCTTTGCTTGAAGCGGGTGGCCGCAGCTGCAGCACACCAGCCAGCAGCTCCAAAGCAGCAGCTCTGAGGCACTTGTGCAACTAACCTCGCACAGAAAATAGCTCTGGAAAAAGCTAAGACAGCGCCATCCCGATGTTTGGGTGTGGTGCGAGCGCGCCGCGAGAAGAAATCAAATCCAAGTTTGAAATTTGCAGCGCAATTTCACCAGACTAACACGCTGCAATCAAGCCTCGCCCTCAACCACCCACCCGCCAATTGGCAAGGACCGTCACGCCGCCATGTGGATGCCAGCGCTGGGCAGGCATAGGCTGTCCCCGACTCCCCTGCCGCGGTGCCTGGCCCTTGTCGCCTCAGACTTTGGAGACTCCGAGACTGAAACTTTCGTCGGTCCCTCGTGATGGCCTCACTCGCCTCGTCGCATCTTTCTCTCGCTTCTTCCATTTTTAACCCCGGCGGTGCACATGTTGGTCATGCCAAGCTGGAGGTTCCCCCTCGTCATTGCACGAGAGCCCGAGGCAGCCTGCCAACTGACTGAGGGAGGTGCTGGTTCGGTACGGACACGAGCCTCAATGGCAACGATGTGCTCCCATTGCTCAATTGAATTCGCCCCTGCCTCGACCACACCGTTCCTCCTGTCTATCCAAACTCTGGCACACACGACACACAAACTGAAAGCGGCTACTGCCCGCGGACGCGACCTGATGGGACGGACTACAGACAGGTTGGGATGGGATGTTCATTGGGCCTAGGCGACGGTCGCAGTGCCAAGCCTATTCAAATCACATTCCTCGGTGGTCTCTGTCTCATCATAGACTGCCCGAGGGGGACGACGAGATTTTTTTTTTCCTTTCCCACTCAGATTTTCCCATCAGGCCCGGGCTCTTCATCTCGGGCTAACGTTACCCAAACAGCTCCACCTTCCGCCGTTCTTTCCCTCTGACTCCGCGCTGCGAAGCTATTGGCTGGTTGCCCTTTTCTGGAGTCGGCAAGACAGCGCTAGTCCCAAGAGGGGATGGATTCAGAAGGGTGCACCAGCCACAGATATGCAGCTTTGGGATGTTGCCGTGGCCCGGGAGACCTGCAGCGTGTGGGGACATGGGTATCTATTGCCAATCAACTGGACGCAATCCATTTCCCTGTTGCAGTGGTGCCGTCGCGTCCGTTGTTGCTTGTTCTTCTTCTCAATGGATGGAACCGCGCCCATCTCTTCTCCTCGGAGTTTCCTCCAGTCTGCCGGTAGGAACCCGAACACCACCCTCATAGGCTCAGATCATCGATGACTTTTCTTACGCGCCCAGCAAAAAGTGGCCCAACCCACTGCACCTTGTGGACCGCTAGGCTCTTGTCCGCCGCCTTAAACCAGTCGTCGTTCATGTCCAACAGTGGACTCGCCCACTGAACACTGGTGCTGACCCCTCGGTGGGCACTCGACTTCGTTCAGTGCTCAACCTGAACCATCACCGACGAATACACAAGACACATGCACAACACAACACAACTCCAACCATCGGCCGACAAAACCTCCTCCGCACTTGCACTTCACAGTGCCGTATCATCATCACCTACCACTCTGGCAGACACAGCGTCTCATCTTTCGAAACAGTCATCGCCCTCACCAACCCCTTCTCACATCACAACCTCCTCATTCTCGCTCTTGGCAGTCTCTGGCCGCTGCTCTCCAGGGCTGGCTCATTTGGCCCCCTGCCGCATCCCAGTGCCATTCCGTGTTTCTGTTGGCGGCCCCTTGCTTTCAAACATCTCTTGCAATGCAATCACCCTACGGATAATCACCACCCCAGGCTCATAAGCATTCAACCATAACGCACGGCAGATGCCATTGGTCTCCGCAAACCGATGCCCGCTGCTTGCTAAGCACTGGCTTTTGCGGTCGAACCCGGCACCAGCTCCAGTTTATTTTCTTTCCTTGCCGTGCCTTATCGCTGCTCATCTTGGCACCGAGAAGAAACTACTCTCTACTAGGAGTCTAGGACGGATACTGCGAAGTTGGTACGCTACGCTAGCCCTGAGGTGGCATCCAGCACCTATCGGCCGACGGACGGACGTTCCTGCCCAAAGCTCCAGCGCCGTTGCAAGCGCCATCACCAACTGGTAATCTGCGTTGTCAAAGAGGCCGCCTCTCCCCTACCAAAACCGGGGCTGAAATCAAGACAAGACGTTCTCAAATCGGCTAAGCGGCCAGTCAGAAAGAACAATACAGGACATCCAGCAGTCCACCTACAGGCCCAAGCCTGCAAGCACGCTGTTGCAGTAGTACCGCCGTGGGTACCACCGTCCGTGGCACACGCTACCTGCACACGCTACACCACGGTGAGCTGCCTCCCACGGTCCTGGGCGCGGAGCTACCATGAGCTCTTGGTCCAATCATGACGGCCAATTGCATGCCGAGCTTTCCACCGATCGTCATCAACAACATCCTGGAGACGTTTTTCTTTGCCCGCCGTTGCTCCGTGAGGGGTTGGTGTTCCCGAAATCGTCTGACGGTTATCACTTTTGTCTTTCTTCGATTTCATATCCCGCGGCAACGACGGCTCCGAAAGCATTGAACCGGCTTCGGTTTCCCGAGAGGCTGGTTGTCTGCCCAATATGGAGCTCCTCGTGCTCATGCGACATTAATTCCTGGTTGAATTCCAGTCGACCAGAGGTATGCGGCCAACAGCTAATGTCTCATGGGCCTCTTTTTCCGCCCAGTCCCAAAGTCTCTCTAGTCGAGCCATCCCCAGCAACCATTCGGACCTGCCTGCGCCGTACAGATTCTCCGCATTGTCTAGCTGCCTTTTCATCCAACCAGTACGAAACCGTCCAACCAACCTCCCGAAGAAAAAGTGGTGTGTGTACTGCTGCAGTTTCGTCGGATTCTGTTCGCAGACGAGGGCTAGACCTGCACGAGGCTGCCGATACGAACTCTGCCACACCGTGAGGGTTGCTGACGTCGCCGCCAACAACCCCGCCACGAAGCTTACGAACGCACCAGCCCGCATCGTGCCAAGTCTTTGACTTTTGATAGATGCGCGGCGTGCTTGCGCGACTTTCTCTATTCTACCTCAATAACTCGCACCCTCCGAAAACTCAATGGAACAAGTACTCCCCAGGTCTTCCCCAGCAGCACAACAGGCACCAAAGTCTGAGGAAGCGACGGCTTCGGACGCACAACCGTCTTGACATGGGATTGTGGAAAATTCCATCGTCATAGATCCAGAAGGGATCTTCCACACGCCATGCAGCCGCCCCCAACGCCGTCAACTTGGCGGGCCGGGACTGTGGGGCCCGGACGTGGATCTGAGGTTCCGGATACCCGTCCTGCACCAAGATGTCACTCGTCGTCCAATCAACAACCAGTCGCGTTTCTGGATCAAATACCTCATGCAACAAATCTTCCGACGTCGCCATCCGACATATGCGGCTTGTGCCGGCCTCTGTTGCCGTGACACCTTCTGCGATGGAGAACACATTGACAGGCACTCGCAACCTCGAGAGATTCTCTATTCTATTTGACAACTACGCTCGCCTTCCTACTTTTGGCTTCGTGTGCAGATCTATCCTCTACATATCGGGCACATGCAAAATCATGTCTCATGCTCTCCTCGCAACCGGTTCTAAACCGACTTCGAGGGTGTCTTTCACGAGGCCCTTCTCATTCCTGACTTCTTCGCCTCCGCTGCGCACCCATCGGTTCCAAGCCACCAGCTGCATACACTGCCCTTCCATGCTGGTGCATTTGGCTTGATATCCCAGGCCGCCGTCTTCCACTCGCCTCCGCGCATCCGCGTCGTTGATCAGCGCAGTGACGGAGCCAGCTATACTCGCCGGCTGCATCATGTATAGCGGCATACTCGGTTCCGAGAAGATCTTCTGCAGCACTGGTACGTGCCAAAGCAATAAACAATACGCCTCGATACAGTGGGCGAGAAGCAGCAAAAGCACAGGCGGGGGGTACTGGACGTGGAATGGCGTCACGCTCACTGATCGGATCAGTGTGTAAAAGTCTTCGAACGTGGGAGGCGCCCCTCCGTCAGTCACCAAGAATGGACGCGCTGCCACCTTGTGCGCGTGAGGTCCGAGGAGAGCGGCTTCGTATTGCAGATGAGCCAGCGCAACGTTGGCTCCATGCACCCAGTTCTGCACGAAGGGCGCCGTGAAGGTCGGGAAGCTGGCCATTCTCAAAGTTGTACCGATGAGGTAATCATCCTTGTGGCCGTAAATGACGTTTCCAGGTCGGATTGCGCCGGTACGGAAGCCTCCATCCTGCAGCGGGTCTTCCGGTATGTCATTGGCACCGCAGATGAGGCGCTCTGCCTCTGCCTTGCTCCTGGCGTAGTTGGCGAAGAACTCGCCATGAGGACGCAGAGGTTTCCAAAAGTCCAACTCATTCAGCACCTGCACGAAGTTCGCCGGCCACTGTTTGAAGGGCGAGTTGAAGAAGTTGACGGGCTTCAGAGCAACACTGCACGACGACGTGAAGATGAAGACGCCGGCGCCGGAGGCCTTTGCGGCAGCAAGAACGTGAGCGGCACCCGCCGTGTTGACGCGGGAGCAGCGGTCGTACACCATTGGGCTACGCTCAGACGGGCGGATGACGGCGGCAGTGTGAAACACTGTCAGAGGGAGCTGAGCGACAGACTCAGGCCATGGCTTTGCAAACGCAGCAGAGGTTGCTAACTCTGAGGATATGTCAGCCTGGGCGAAATCGACCTGCGACACGGGGCCTTCGCTCATATCATCGCGTAAGGGCTTGCGGAAGTCGATGATACGGATCGCCTCGGGGGGATGACCGCGCGCAATCAGCTGAATCGCAAGTTGTCCTCCAACCAAGCCTGTGACAAAGACGGTCAGCGCAATCAGATTGGTATCATCAAAGGGGCCATCGTACCAGCTCCGCCAACAATAACATAGCGTCTATCCAGCTTTGGGGGTAAGTGTGGTGTCCAGTCGATGGGCTGCTTCTCCATGCGTTCAAAGACGCGCTTAACTCGGTCTGGCGTCCATCGATCCGGCGACACCCGCTGAGCCTCAGGCGGGGTATTCGACATGGCCCAATTGATCCTCCAGAGGTACAACACCGCGGCCGCCACTAGGCCGAAGACGAGTTTGGCAGTCCATGATTCCAGCATCATGGGTTAGTTAGTGCTGGGCGCCGCCGGTTGACCGTTGCTTGCTCTAAGGTTCTGCCCCTCGTGGAGTTGTTGCTCTTTTGGTACACTAACGGCGGCTTCCAGACAAAGAAGATTTCCGGATATAATGGCGCAAGAAGCTTGTTTTTCATGACGCAACGCTAATGAGGGGGGCGGCGGGAGCTTTTTAATGCCAGGTGCCTCTCGAGACCGAGCTCCCCTCGCCGGTCGCACCTGCTTCCCGAGCCGATCAATGCGCTAAACATTTGGAGTCCTCGAGCCCCCACCACTCCGGTCCTTGCGCAAATATCAAATCGCTCCTCCAGGACTGCGAGTCGAGTCCTCCTCCGGCGGTGAGAACCGAGGTCCCACTGCTCCGCTCCGATATCACCAAAGACAGCGCGCGGAGAAGCCGTCCATCGAAAGACGCCATTCACCAAGCCCTTGCAGGCAGAATTCAAACGAGGGCTGTACTGCTCTTATTCGTATCCCTCGGGTCGATCAGTGTAACCTGCACCGACTTACGCACCTCCAACGGCCTGGCACTCTTCGACGCGTGACCGGTGCGACCCGAAACCGATTTGTGGTGGGGTCCGCGGCCGTCACTCCCGCGTGGTTTGCTTGTGCGGAGAGCTCTTCGCTCATGATGTGACGTTCTGATTGGGCGCGCACGCAGCTCTCGCCCCCGGCAGCTCCCCCGCACATGCCCCGTGTGCTACACGAGACCTGCAGCACGCGGTGCGGTGGGTGGCTTCAATGTCAGAACCTTATGACGAAAAGATCCCCAGGGCACGTCCGTAAGCAGTAAGCACCTGCTCATTGGCTGTGCGAAGCCGTGTGACAGATCGACTGAGCGTTTTTTTGAGCCGCAACTGGGCGACGACCGTCCTTGGGCTCGTCCATCCGTTGAAGATGCTGATACCGCTCGTGCCATAGTTAGACCTTGGGTAACAACCCTGCTTCCAGTGATGTCCGAAGATTGGGCGGTATAAAAACAGTCGAAGCCCCAGGGAGTGTGCTTCTACAAACAATCGCATCTGAAGCAGAACGGTGCCTAAAAACGTGGACCCAGAACACAGGTTATACTCAAACCTTACGAATTAGGTGGGAAACTGTGGTGTCTTCCTGTCGTCGATCCCACGTCAACGGGATACTCTGGTTCAATACCCGCCAGTACCTGCCAAGAGACAGACAATCCCAGAGACCACAGACAACTTGAGGATGTCTTGTTGCTGACGAACCTGGCGGACAACCCAACTGCTGTGAACCAGGAAAGCCCTATCACAAGGCGACGAATCACGTCGGACTGTGCTTCCAATCACTCTGATGATAATTTTGAACCTTTGTCTGGCGATGGTGATACTGCTTGCTACCCCTTTTTATACTTGTGATTCCGAAATGTCTGCTGCGAGTCGTCACTCCTTAGATGAGTTCGACGTTTAGATGCAGTCTGCTGAAGAGTATAAGTATAGCAGTAGATTGCCCGTTCAGCAACACGCGCAGGCAACCGCGAAGGATTTCGTTCATCTTTGAACAATTTCGATCTGTACAAAGCCTGTCGCATTCGCCAAGGCCGGTCCTTGCGCTGCCTTCGCAAGTTCGCCGTAACGGAGGCTTGGGAGATACCGCACTCGTCGTTCATCGGCTCTGGAGGTTGGCTCTCCGGGTTTATTCTTCTTGACCCTGGAAATGAAGTTTGGATGTTGTCCTGTTCTGGTGTCCCCAGAAGGTCGTCAGCATGGTCACCAGAGACTGGCATCGTTGAGCTGGCGGTTTCCATCGACGGTATGCAGTGCTTCGTCATTAGGTGGACGTTTTGACCGACTCATTCTGCTCAATCAAATCGATTTATCATCTTCGCCCCCTTATATACAACGAGAACTCGTGCCCACTTTGAGGCCGACGCAGAGCGCGACATTTAGACTGCAAGCCCACGATAGAGTGGCTGGGGGGGAGTACCGGCATTCCCTGTGATTTACAAAAAGGACACATGCCCGAAACATATTTTCTCCTCGCAGACAATGTGGCCGGTCTGATGGAAAAGCTCAAAAGCTGACCGCGTCGAATGGCCAAGGCGGTCTGCTGCGTGCTATGTGACGAGTCTCCGAATTTCCCGCCACAGTGGCGTACTCGCAGTATCGGCCATCTCTGGTTCTATGAAAGTACTCGGCTAGTAGTGATGCTTTATACTAAGCAGCCACAACGATCTGATTTCATGAAGTGGTCCTAGCTAGTCACAATGTCACTGCCAGTTTGAGCAGTCCAACGGTGTAAGAGTCCCTGCGCGAATTGCTAGGATATCAAGATAGAGGGGTCAGTCCATAGGGATATGTTTACGGGGCGCATATAGCTGCTATATTCGTAGCTAAGGTAAGACTATCATGTCATGAACTGAGCAAATGGGAAGGAGATGACCACTCTGCGCGTTTGACTCTCGGTCGATAGAGAACCCTTTCGAGGGTGATTGAGTAGCAGTTTCAAAGGAATGTGTGTGATTGATTAGACATTACGGGAGCCTAGACCCAAAACCAGACTACCTAGTAAAAAGAAGAAGTAATTTCCGCAGATGGTAAAACGAAAGTGGCCCCAAAAGACGCTTCTCTCTCTCCAGTCAAGAAACAAGAAGCCTTACCGGGGGCACATGCTCAGATTATAAACGCTGATGTAAGTTGACCGCATGTTGTTTGCCTTTTTTTCCCCCTCCGTTCTTGTTCTTCTTTCCTTATTTCCGCGCGACTACGCATTCCTCAAACAATAACCAACAATCAGAGAGCATCAAATTAGAGAGCAGTGTGTTCGGTACTTGGTGGTGGCTACACCATCTCGATTCTTGACCGTTCGCACAAATGGCTACTTGGTGTTGTTGATCGCATAAACCATCGAGTCGTAGTAGGACTTCGGTACTTAATTTCCAAATATGTCAATATAATTTGCGAGACACGAAGTTCTCGGTATTACTCACAGTGAAAGGTCGAATCTTTGATAGCCTTGATTAGAGCGGCCAGACTCTTGAATTGGAGAGGGGGCGGAGGGGGGAGTCCAATTTCGGTGGGGATGGGCTGTGGTACACTGTTGTTGAATATCTTCATGCCCTTGTCGATATGATAGAAATCTAATTCTGTAGGTCTGAGACTGGTGGCTGGAATCTGCGGAACCAGATCCTGGTCATTTACCACTCTCCAAGACTGTGAATTAGACGGCGGGCCGAAATTGGTGTTGTTGTAAGTTGCCCACTCCTCGTTCCCAACCCGGGGAGCACCGAATGTGTACTCATCTCCAATGTTGACCGGGATCTTTCCGCCATCCTGGAAAAATTGGGTGTAGAAAAGTGAAGAGTAGGAGCCTCCCAAGGAATGTCCGGTTACATGAGCCTTGACGATGTTGGTATCAGAACGCCCAGGTATGGTCGACACGCACTTGGTGAGTGCAGCGACTATGTAATCATACGCAATGTCTTCTATCTCTTCGAACCGGGAGAAAAGAGCAGTGAAGACACCAAGGGACACTTTCGTGGGGGCCCCGCCAAGATACTGTCCAACGCTAGTGAGTTGGTAGTTGTAGTCAACCTTGACGTCTCGTAGGTTCGCGGGATTGGTGCCTTTGAAGGCAATTCCGACAAACGGGCTGTTTCTCTGAGCGTTTGTTGTGTAGAAAGCGCCGCAATATGGTCCATCCCAATGAGGTTGGCCGTCCGGCGGGGTATGAAGCAAATCGCAGAGAGGCACGAATTCCAAGCCCCAAAATTGGGCTAGCTTCCTGATCGGATCATATGCGGCGTGGTATGTTTTGACGCAACGCTTAAGAGTGATTTCGTCGTTTGATCCGTTAACTTTGTAGGCGCGATATTCCTGCCAAGCCTCGTCAAGCAGACTGTAATCGCGAAGGTACATGCCCATGCTCTCCATGAAAGGAAGAAATGCGATAGGCCATGAGATGTTACTTTGCCCACCGAAAACTTGCGATGCAATTGAAGTGCTGATGCTCGCAGTGTTATCGGAACTCCATCCTTCTAGGATTCGGAGTGTGATGTTGCAAAGCTCCTTGTTATCGATGAGGGAATTGTCTGGGCGAGACGGAGGTTTGTGCCGGGCAAGACGATCGAGATTGGCAATCGCCAGCTGCTCGTGGACTTCCGAGAGAGAGAATGAATCAATAGCCATGGCTAAAAGAGTATTGGAGTGATCAGGAGTTGGTCAACTTCCGAAATGTGCTGCTTCAAATTGTTCCAGAGAGTCAAATGTATTGATACACCTTTTGAACTTGAGAACCACATCCTAGAGACTGAACGGATATACTTATACTCTTTTCGACTTGTTAGACTATCAGTCGTCTGAGATAAATAATTGGTACTCTTCACACTGCCGTTTGAAAACAGTTTCTGGTTGCCCACTTAGTCGCCTCATGTCTGCTTGAAACTGGCTCATCACACACGCTTAAAACTTAGTGAAGTCGAACGAAGATTGCAACCAAAATTCGCAAAGTCGTATGACCCAGCTACCCCATGTCATCAGCGAAGGCAAGTCCAGCTAGCCACTGTAACCCAGCTCGGTCTTGGCCCTCGTTTTCGGTTAGTTAGACGCGGTCACTGGCTGGTTCAAACACGGTTGGGCTTGCCGCTAGTTGTGTCTCACCACGGAACAACAGTCACACGTGTGATGGTTTGCCGTTTGCGACATCAGCCTTATATTAACCGTGGCGCAACCTGCTTTCGGGTCCTTGACTCCTTGCAACAGCTCAATTGAAGACCCTTTCTAACTATCAATTGCCGTATACTGAGAAATATTTGAAGTGAGAAATTCCAGCTCGGTGCATAGCGGCATTTAGTGGCTAGCTGTGCATGACTTGCCGACGACTGAATCCATGGAATCAGACCACATCCATAGTGCCACAGAAACGGTTTCGGTAATTTTCCTGAGGCTCCACTGTAGATGTGATCTGCTGCTCTGACTGACTGCGACTCAGAGGCATGTAGGCTCACCTCGAATGGAAGAAAAAACTTTGAGAGTGACTTCAAAAGTCTTCACTGGACAGTGCAGAGAAGAAAAGAGTGGTAATCACCACAGAGAGCTTCCGCAATGCATTGCGGTTAGACGAGACAAAAGATACTAGCTACATGGAATACCATGGCTTGTGACATGTGGCCTCTCTAGGCACAGCGTTTAAGCAGTACCGGATCACAAACGTTAGAGGCATTTTATATGCACATGTTTTCGGCGGGAGAAAATTCATGACATTCACACGGGTTCTCGCTGTACTGAGATTGGGCGTCACGTCAATATTTGATTTATCCAATTATTTTATGTCAATGATTGAGCAGCTCGGTTGAGATATTGTCATTTTCCGCTGTATTCATTAAGCAAACACCATTTGCATTTCGTTCACGGTCTTACAATGTCTCTTCCACCCAGCCAGACGAATATCCAGCTGATCATAATCATGATTTTCCTCCTCCAGCTTCTCGTCCAACCCAAACTGCCGGATCTCCATGCCAGCCAAGCACTCATTCCAGTCCACTCTTGTCGCCCTCCAATGATACCATCGTGGCGTCCCAAGTAAGCCAGCAGAACCCTCTGCTTGTAACCAAACGGCTTCACATCTTCTTCCCTTCCGTTCAATGTCATGGTGAGATATTCTCCCTTCTGCAACGCCACCTCAGCCAGCGTGGGCAGTGACACCCCGTCAATGTCGGCTGCATCCCCCAACGCGTACACATCCTTCATTGGACTCCCATCAGGCCGCAAAACCCTCAAGTACTTGTCCGTCAGAATCCTTGGTAGTCCGTGTTCGGGCTTCTTGACATCCAGCTTCTGCACCAGCGAGCTTGCCTTGTTCCCTGTAGCCCAAATGATCAGGCCTGAAGGCAACCTCCCATCCTCTTTCGTGATAATTCCATCAGGCTCCACCGACGAAATGTGCGAACACGTCTTGAGCGCAACTTGCTTCCCCTCCAAACTCTGTGTCGCGTACTCGCTCAATCTGGCATCAAATGTCGACAAAATCGAAGGCGCGACATCATGGATCGTGATCGTCAACTTCCCATCCAACTGGGGGAACAAGAACCTCATCTCCTCAAACCACAAATCCCACAACTCCGCGGCCGCCTCGATCCCAATCGCCCCGCCGCCCACAATCCTGATACTCAAAAGATCTCTCTGCTCCTGCTCCGTCGTCGTCGGCAGCGACGCCTTGTCCATAATCTCCAAGATCCTCTGCTGAATCAACCGCGCATCGTTCGTCGTCTTCAGAAAGAAAGCATGCTTGCTCGCTCCGGGCGTCCCAAAGTCCTGGATATCGCACCCCGGCGCGATGCAGAGCTTGTCGTACTCCACGTCGAAGAATTCGGGCTCCTCGTCGTCGCCCTTGATGTGCGTGTCGGACTTGCACCGGATGACCCGCTTCTCCAGGTCGATGTCCTCGGCGAAGGCCTTGTAGTAGCTCATGTCCGTTCGGCTTTTACGGCGGACGGGCTCCTCCGCCATGCGAAAGTTGAAGAGGCCGCATGCCGCACTGGCGAGGAGCGGGGTGTACTGGATCGTGCGGATGGGCGAGATCACCTTGACGGTGTATTTCGAGAGGTCAATCTTTTGAGTCAGGGTGAAGCCGCCCCAGCCGGAGCCGATGACGGCGAGAACGGGCTTCTTTGAGTCGGCCATACTCACTTGTGCTGTATGTCTTGTTTGCCCTTTGGGCAACAAAATGTCTTTGTCCGGCCACCTGCCTACTTATGTTTCCCCCTTATTCTTAGCGGGCGAAGCTTCAGCATCGCAAGCTTGACGTCACGCATTTTACGGTTTTGCGATAGTTCCTGGCAAATGTGGTGGTCGGCTGCGGAGTAGCTATTTCACTTTCGGGACGTCATCGACTTTCGGGAAATGGACATGTTGCATTTCAGGCAGTTTAGCCAATAAATTAGGCGCTTTGATTGGTCGCAGCTGGCTGTCAGCTTGTAGATGGCAGATGCCGGGAGATCTCCGTGGCTGAATACCGAGATCCAGAATTGACGAGAATCCGATTTATGGAGAACACGGAAATCCGGCATCACGAACTTCTGCCTCTTTCACAAAAAAGCGCCCCCAAAGAATTGGTCTTGGAAATACACTTGCGGGGTGCATGGGAGCTAGATCCTTGGCAAAGGCAATTCTTCATTGAAACCATCATTAGCACCGCCAACATGGTGATACCTAGTCTACTTAAACGATACGTACATATTATACAAAGCCAACGCTTACAGGCCCTCGGGAGCCTGGGCATATTTCCTCCAAACAGGATCATTCAAAAGCCTCTCCATTGCCTCATGCTCGACACCTACAAAAACCTCAATGCCGCCCTTCTTCGGGTCCGGCAGCACAATCTGCATCGTGTGCGTTACACCTACAGATGGCGGGCGGACAGCCAGGATCTTCTCACCGAACGCAGAGCCCCATTCGATATCGTAGAAAGGGAACTCGCGCCATGATGACTGCAGCATATGGTTACCAGGCATGTCAAGGAACATGGTCGGCGCAAGCCTAGTCACATCCTGAAGCCTCTCAACCAGTGCATTGAGGCTGTCAAGGTAGACATCCTCGGTCTTGGCTACAGCACGTCGGACGCAGATGGCCAGGTCCGCGAGCGTTGCTTCGCTTTCCGGGGATACAACCTCACGAAGATCGAGAACGGCAGGTGCGAAGCCAAGGATGTTGCCGATGGTGTGCTTGTGCACTGGCACGCCCGCTCTCCGGCGCGCATCGAGAGCGATGCCCATCACCGAGGGCGAAGGGGCCGGGTCTTCGGAGACAGGGCGGATCTTGGTGCTGTGCTGGGCTGACATTGTCGCGCGCCAGATGAGCGCCGACAGAGCGTCATTGGTGGTGATGTACTCTGGAATGCCTTCTCTACCCTTGAAGAGCTGGGAGTTGGCTGGGGATGCGTCGGCCTTGAGGGCAGCCAGGGCAGAGGGAGAGAAGTACCAGACGTGGCCATGGTGGATGTCTGAGGCGAGCTTGGGTGGCACACCAGGGGGAGTGAAAGGAAGCTCGATGTATTCTGCATGGTCTTCCGGGCGGCCGGGCTGGGCGCCGGTGGACTTCATCACCTTGACTCTGTCCTCTACGGGGACCTCGGCCGGGAGGGTAATTGGGATACCTTGCAGGCGTCGGACCTCCTCGGCGAGGAGCTCGGTGAACTTGTAGGCTGTTGTGCCGTCTGCGTAGGCATGTAGGAAGAGCATGTTGAGAAGGAGACCTCCCCTGATGAAGTTGGCTTGCATCCATGTGACGTTCAGCCTGTCGCCAGCCTGAGGCCATTCACCACCCATTCCACGACGGCAGACCTTCTCGGGGAGGAGCGCCGAAGAAGGGAACCCGCGGTCTTTGAGCTCGGCGAAGGTAGGAAAGGTCTCATCGCCACGGAGGTCCTTAGCAAGGAAGTCCTCAATCTCGTCACCGTAATGGCGGAGCTTGAGGAGACCTGCTTGCTTTGAGTCCTCGAGAGGCACAACCTCACAGCCGGCGATAGGGACACGATCCTTCATGGCCTTGTAGGCAGTCTTCAGGATGTGTGTTAGGTGGTCGGCATCGTAGTTGTCGGGGAGCTCAAAGTGATAGATACAGCGAACCCATCCTTTGGGGCAGATCTGCTCGACGGGAAGAAGGGGAGGGGCAAGGTCGAGATTCGTTTCAGTCGGCGAGGGGATTTCCGTGGCTGTTGTGACGGAGACAGTCTTCTCAGGCAGAGGCCCAGCATCAGTCACCAGACTAGGCTCAGTCAATCCCGGCGTCATCTTGAGAAATTGAGAAATAATTCAAAATTGAAACGAAGATGAAATGTCTATTAGACCCGAGCGTAGAGTATGGTCGATACCAGGCAGTTTGGACGTCTCTGGAGAGCATGGGATGATGGGCTTTTGAAGAAGTGAGCTCTCGTCGCTGGTCTATCATCACAACTGGAACTTCGATCCCCAAGGAACTTTCCGTCGCTCGTATGATAGTTTCTGCCGACCTGGTCGCGATTCTGCAGCTCGGGTGGCGTAGTACATGCAGTTCAGGGGAACCAACAACATCTTTCAGGCCCGGCCAGATTGCAGCGTCTCAATCGCTGCACTTTAGTTGAAATGTGATTACAGGCTGCACGTATTCGCTATCCCGAACAGGCAAATGCCTCGTTCCTCCGTTGTTTGCTCATTACGAAAAGGGACTCCATGTCGATCGACCTTCGAGGATGACAGTCTGGTCGCGATATCCCTTGACAAGGGCTCGGGTTTTCGGGCTTTGAGAGCGTGATTCACATGGCAGCGTGCCTGAACCGGCTTGTCGAAGATGACTTCTGGATATCTAGACCGTTGCTAGCGCAATTGGGCCTGTCGATGCTTGCGAATTCACTCTCTTAAACGTAATGATAAGTGGAGTTTTTGCAGCTCGACACTTGTCGGTACGCATGGTAGGTGAGTGCGAGTTGCTCTCCGGCTTCCCGCCGTGCCGAGACGCAAGGGCCCCGGCATCGAGCAGACCGTTACAAGAAGGTGCTGACCATACCGGGAGGCTTGCAGATGGGTGCCGCGGAAGCTTCCTAGGGCGCATATTCGCCTCGGTGTGTTTCTGAAAACTCGGACTTCTTGCCTGTTGCGATGCGCTAAAGGAGACAATGCACTCTTCAGGCGAGCGTTGGATGATATGTGGACCCTGGAAATGCCTGGTAATAAGACGTTGATGCTGTGTTGGTTCCTCGCTGTTGAAATCATCTGACGCGATTGGGTCGCTTTCTCATGGATGGCCTGAAAGGAAATCCGAGGACCTACCAACACGAAGAAGGCATGATCGTCTTTACGGGAAGAATACTTGTTCGGATGCTGTCCCAACAAGGCCCTGGGTCTTCAACCAACTGCTCAATCAATCATTCTACTTATCTAGCAAATTTCTCCGGCAACAACCAGGTCGTCTCGGCCTCCAAAGGCTGAAAGGTGTCCGAGACTTGGGTATCGTAATGTGCATGCGGCACAGCTGAAGATCTTTCTATCTTATTGCAGAATCGTACTACTGTTGGATGTTTGCCAACGGATTTTTCTCTCCGCTACCCTTGCGAACGCGAAGCAAACATACACGCAAGTGCTAGCCCCCTGGTCTAGCGCCAACATGTCTTGCAAAAGTCCTTGAGACAACCGAGGCAATTGAAGACTTTTGTGAAGTTATCCAAGAAAGAGGCGAAGCCGAAATGCAATGTGGAATGAGCAGGATTATTTTGTGTCAATTCTGAGGCTCCATGTCGATACAGCCAGCCACAATCATAGGGAGGCGCGGGTTGGCTTAAGAGCGACTCAGATCTTCGCTAAAACGTCGTGGTAAGCGGAGAATTTTGTTTGGCTTCTTTCCCCTCTAGCATTCCGCTCAAATGTCATCTTGAATCTCCCCTTTTCTTTCCGTCTTCCGTTTCTCCCTTGGCGAGAAGAAGTTGCCACGCGACAAACTCTTCACAGATCACAACAGCATGACCGTCGACCCAAATATCGTGGCTATCTTTGGAGAAGCGCCGGCGGGACTCGATCTAGACGAGCAAATCGTGACCTCTTACAATGTTGCGGTATGCATCGTTCTCGGCCTTGCGGCCGCATCAGTCGCGCTTCGCTTTTACGTGCGCTGCGTCAAGGGGTCGAAGCTTTGGTACGATGACTGGGCAATCTTTTTCAGTGTTGTAAGTTGGACTTTTTCCCTGAGATAATAAATCGGGAACACAATATTTACTCCTGTTCCTTGCCGTCTAGTTCTTGTGCGCAGCGACGACGTTTATGACTATCTTAGGTGAGTAGACCAGAAAACTTTCATTTCAGTCATGAGGTCACGCGATACAAGAACCCTCTAACATAAAAAGCCGGGAGCTATGGCGCCGGAGAACACGTCTGGTCGCGCAACATCTCGCGTTTCGTGACCCTATTGAAGGTACGCGGGGGCAGGTTTTATTCGTCTTTCATTCATCATTCAGGTCACTGACATGGATCCCTGATCAGATCGTGTATGCCGAACCCTACGTGTACGCAACCGCCGTCACTTCGACAAAAGTTAGCATCCTTCTTCTCTACCGTCGTCTCTTCCACTCCAAGACTGGCCTAGGCCAGATATACTCGATAATGTTCTGGACCGCAACCTTCCTTACCAGTACATATCCATTCATCCTTTGGATTACCATGGCATGTGCCTGTCGTCCGGTATCGTTCTACTGGACCCAATACCTGGGGGAGAAGGGAAGCTGCATCAATGTCAGCTTGTTTTTTCTCCTTCTAGGAATCGTCAACATGTTTAACGACATCGTCATATTGCTGGTACCAGTGCCTCGTATATGGGAACTGCATATGAACAAGCGGACCAAGACTTCTATCATTGGTATCATGCTTCTGGGCGGTTTGTATGTACTCCATGTGCACCTCTTAATACGAAGGAATGCAATATGTGCTGACAAGTGATTTACAATGTTTGTGTTGCAAGCTTCGTGCGTATTTACTACCTCAACGGCTTGTTCCAGAACATCGACGTCACATGGTGGATGGGTCCCTCCTTTGCCTGGTCCAGCCTTGAGCCTTCCGTCGCCATCATCTCCGCTTGCTTACCAACATTCGCCCCGTTGTTCCGCATGGGCAGGAACAAGTCCTCAAACAGTCCATCCTATCCGTACGCAGGTGAACGTAGCGGTGGTATCTCAGGTAATGGGGGGCAACGTAGCCGCAACGCTCACAGCAGTCAACTTGCAAGAGCAAATGTGGGGGGCTTTGGTCTGAGCCGAAGCCAGGCGGGTCATACAAGACTTGAGGATGATGAGGTTGAGCTGACTTGCAAGGTGACTTCTGGGGATACGGTATCGAGTCATGGTGCTGAGAGCAAAGGTAGCTCTGACTATGAGCGAGGGATTGTCGTCAGGACTCAGGTATCTGTAGTTTCACAGAAACAAGAAGACAAGCATCATGAGAAATAGAACATGTGTCGGAGTTGAAACCATGAACTTGATGAAAGACATTGCGAGTAACATGAAACTCAAAGGTTGAGTTTTGAAGTTACGCGATATGATCTTGATTTACCTTGATTGGTCAAAGGATTTCGAACTTAACTTTCTCGCTATGATATGGTGATTCTAAAAGCCACGAATTCTTGTAAGCACACCAGACAAGAGGGTTCACTCATCACTTGTGTACCTGCGGAAAGAAGCGCGGCTTTCAAAAGTCATACTTACGACGCTCCAAGGCTACACGCCTACCAATAGGTTTGCGACACAACGTGAAGGCTCACAAAGGCCAACTAGAGTTAGGGGTCAAAAGATGGATTCCTGAAATCTGCCTACTCTATGTGATGTGTTACCTGTGCTCTATATATAGCCAAGCTGCTCCCTTTTTGTTCGAATCCCCTTGCTAGCTTCTTGCAGAAGAGTCCTGACGGCGGTTCGCAGAATTCGCTCTTATGAGCTGCTGTTATCTTCCTCTTTGGTCTTCAGACTGACTTTGTAGGAATTTCGAATAGCTCTCGATTGCAAAGCATGTAAGCAAGAACACAATTTTGGAGGTCTCAACCGATGTGTCATCATGCACAGAGTCGCGGTGTTCATTTGGGGGCCGAAGTAATGCGACGCCGCCACCCCTGCTTCGAGTTGGTGGGAAACTTGGCATCTGTAACATCAGATCGACCAGGGGAATGACGTCGCACTCAATAATGAACATGGGAGTCGGCCTCCAGACCACGACATTCGATCGATCTACAGTAAATTCACGGAATCAGGTTGCTTTAAAGGGAAATTTGCTCACCGTGGTTTGGCGAGTTCTAATATCCAAGCTGCAATGTGTGCAACTGCGAGGATGAAATCTCGTGTGGAATGGCAAACGTAGGTCAACTGGGGCTGGTTCAGCCGTAGCAATCTGTTGCCTTGCTTGCCTGAATATCGTTTCGTGAGCTGTGTTTGCCGTCCTGTTTGAACAGGCCAAACAGATCAGGTGCCATTGTACCATCTCTGAACACAACATGAACACCATATTGACTTTTAAAACCTTTACCGTAGCTTCTGCTTTGAGTTGATGTCGATGAGTATCCACTCTTTTTAACAATCAAGTTCGTCCACGAAGACCTTACTTCCAAGAAGGGGCATTGACGCAACTCCCAACGCAACCTCCTTTATACGGACTAGCGCCAGAAAGTTCTCCTTTAAACTCCAATGTCCTTTTTCTCATCGTAAGCTTTTCACATCCTTCAGCGACGTCGGAGACGCATGAACGGAAGCCGCGGGGGCGAAATTTAAGGAAGGTCACATCCTTAAGGCTGTGCTTAGTGGGTCATTCGAGGTTGGTAACCTGTCATCGGAAGGTCTTGAAAATTTGTCAGTCGCTAAAGTCTGGAACTCGGCCTTGGCAACCATAAACACTCTTATGTCCACTGCTATTGCCAGCATGTCATTCTTAAGTCAGCCCAGTCAAGCTCGATAGGCTTCTTGGGCCGCTCAAGTTTATCGCTCCGGCGTCACGCGTGCCTGCATATGACCACGCAGGAGAAGGTTGCCGAGCAGCGGCCTGCAGCAGACTGGGTAGAGCAAGATTTGACGACATGGCTCAGCTCGTTGGGAGTTCGATTACCCGGTCTGTTTGAATTCTGATTGATCACGGGCTCCGTCTTGCACCGCCTTTCTCCACGTAGTCGTACTGATTCGGCGACGGTCCGAATATGAGGCATTTTTACGCGAGGCATTCGGGCAGTCAGCCAAGACAATACACGACCAAGAAACGACAAAGTTTTCCCGCGATCGTCCGCGTCCAGTTGCCTGATTCACTGGGCTCTCGTGTAGGGCCTCCACACTGGAGTATGCTTATATTATCAGATCCACAGAACAGGTGCCATCGTTGCCTTTCCTAGTTAGTACCCTCCGGTTCTGCGGAGTGTTTTCCAGTACCGAGACAAGGTACTTGAATAAGATTATCAATCTCATCTTATCAATCGTTCACATATTTAAGGTGTAAGCCAACATCATGACGTTGATTTTTTCCTCAAGCTCTTGGTTGAGTGTCTTGCCATTCCTTTCTTTGCATTGTCATCCGGCATCATGAAGTTCATTACTCTGAGCTCCGCGCTTCTGGCGCTAGGCGAGACGGCCGCCGCTCGCATGTACGCCCGCGACAATGCCACGACCACCCGTAACACCACTTACGACTACATTGTCGCTGGAGGTGGAACCGCTGGTATTGTCGCAGCTGAGAAGCTCGCCAACTCCGGCCGCAGCGTTCTCCTGCTTGAGCGAGGTGGACGTTCCTTCTACATGACCGGCAACAACAAGACGATGCCATGGAACAGCACCGTCACTATGTACGATGTTCCTGGCATGGCCGACCACACCGGCGCCTCCCCCGATCTGCAGTACTGCAGAGATCTTGCCATTGCGGCGGGATGCCTCCTCGGTGGCTCAACCATGCTCAACGCACTCATGTTCGTCAGGCCCCGCGCCGCGGACTTCGCGTCCTGGCCCGAGGAGTGGCACTGGGAGAACGGCATCGCCGATGCGGCTGCTGAGTTCTACGAGCGTCTTCCCGGTACCACCTTGGCTTCGGAGGACGGCAAGCGCTACGATGACGGCGCTTTCGAGATCATGTCTCGCTTCTTGGATGCCAACGGCTGGAGCGAGCAGGATGCCCTGAACGATGTTGAGGCTAAGGAGTTGATGTACTCCCACCCTCCCTGGTCGGTAAGTAACGACGTCCTTCCCAAAGTTCCAGCTCAATCTGACACTGTTTAGATCGCCCACGGCCTCCGTGACAGCCCTGTCCGTGCTATCCTCCCCGACGCCGAGGCCCTCTCCAACTTCCACCTCGAGCTTAACACCAAGGTCCTCCGTGCCATCCGTGAGGGTGGCCTGGTTACCGGCATCGAGGTTGAGCACGACAGCGGTGCCCGCGAGATCATCAACCTGGCCAAGGGCGGATCCCTGGTCCTGGCCGCCGGTTCCCACTCCACTCCCCGTGTCCTGTTCAACTCCGGCATCGGCCCTGCCGCCCAGATCGAGATTGTTGCTTCCGGCAACACCAACATCCAGCTTCCTCCCAAGGAGCAGTGGATTGAGCTTCCTGTCGGCGAGAACCTCAAGGACCATGCCATTGCCACCGTCACCTTCACCACCAAGGACAAGCTTGTTGCCCTCCCCAGCACTGCCTGGACTAGCCCCGACCAGACCTCCATCGACCTCTTCGCCCAAGGCAGCGGTCTCATGGCTCAGTCTGGTCAACGCCTGAACTTCTGGACTTCCGTCAACACCACTGATGGCGCTACCCGTCACATCCAGGGTACCGTTCGTGCTGATGCCAATAACACCATTGGCGTCAAGGTCTACCTCACCCACGGTACCACCTCTGTTGGCACTGTCGAGATCACGCCTGAGGGAGCTACCAACATGACCCAGAAGCCTCTCCTGCACACCGAGGGTGATGTTGAGGCCCTGACTACCATGGTTGATACTCTCCTCCAGTACGCCCGCAAGCCTGACAGCATTCTGAGTGTCCCTAAGAACGCCACTGCCGAGGCTCTTGTTGCTGCGGCTGGCAGCGGTAGCCACTACCTTGGCACTACCCAGATGGGTTCTTCCAACGACGGCAAGAGCGTTGTCGACCCTGACACCAAGGTTTGGGGTACTGAGAACTTGTTCGTTGTTGATGGAAGCATGCACCCCGAGGTTCCTACTGGTAACACACAGGCTCCCATCATGGTCGCCGCTGCGTATGCTGCTAAGAGAATTCTGGACCTCCACGCGTAAACAAGACAAGTTATCAGTTATAACCAGTAGTTACACGACTCGTTGTCAATTTTGACCACGATCATTCGTAAGAGACAAAGAAGCAAATTATGAAGATTACTGCAACACCTGATGTGAATGAAACATTTCTCTATGTCTTTATTGACAGTCTAATGCAAAACTTTTCTTTTCGTTGAACCGTCATCTGGTCCTCAAAATCTCACTCTCGTGACTGGGCAGTAAGCGCAGCGCTGCCTCCCGCAATTAAAACAACCATCATGCACGACGGGTGTCCCGCCTTGACCGCATTGGCACTGCAAGACAATCAGCAAAGCCCGGTAACTGTCTAGAGAGACTCACGCATTGCCATAAAAAGACGTATTTTTTGACCGGCCCTCTGTTTATCCGACCGATAATTCGGTTTGCTGCCTTGCTTTGTTTCCCATCGGTTCGATCTTTCGATGTAACCCCCTTGACCTGAGGATCTTCCGTCTCCTGTCCTTGCTCTTCCGGCGTGCTCTCCTGGATGCCTGCGATCTCTTCGCTCTCAAGCTCCTCCTCTTCTGGTGTGTTCCGTAGGGACTCAGGCACAAACTCTACCTCAAGCCCTTCAATGTAGATCGGGAGTGCTTCGAGAGAAATTTGCTGCAGATGTCGCGCCACATGACGGGAGAATGCCTTTATGTTGTTCGACTGCGGGTCATTCGACATCCAAGAAGAGCAAAAGGGACACGAAAACTCGTCGAACTCGGTTCTAAGTCTTTTACAAGCCTCTGATATCATTGGGAATTGATTTCGAGTTACCTTGCCAGGGTGAGAATCGTTGAGATGTCGTTGGAGGTCTTCTTCGCTATGTAAATTGCTACTGCAGAACAAGCATGACCAGAAACAATAGTGCATCTTCATTTGATGATCGAACCATGATGCTCGACTATCGAAAAGATCACTGGATTGCACACATTCTTCAAAGGTGCAGACGTAGGGCTGAAGGTCCCAAAAGACATGTTTCCTGGTGATTTCGCGTTAGTGTTGAACACAAGGGTCTCTCTTTCTGAGGGAAAGCTGAGGGGGAGCATACTTCCACTCCCATTGGTCTGCCACTTTCTGAATTGTATAACAGAAAGGGCACTCAAATGATTTGTTGTACTCCAATTTGATACCGTTGTAAGTCAACCGCGTCAATTCGGGGATTTGGCGGCCCCCGTGCTCACTGCTGTAGCAGCTCAGTAACGATGTTGCTGCTGAGAAAGCTGACGAGGCATAGGGGGCTTCAGGCGGACTTTCACCTTCGACGAATGTTGTAGCTTTTGACGTAGCTGTGTCTTCTTTTCCGTCTGTAGTAGGTTCTTGAGACAAACTATTGTGGTGTTTTTGTCTGTACTGAATCCTGAGTCTTCTCAAAGTAACCGCATTTCCCAAACGTCGTAGTAACCATGGCTTATCCTTCGCTTTGGGGAACTTATCCCCCACATTGGTAATGTCTGGAGAAGCTGTCTCCGGCTGAAAATCGACGGATAAGGAGCGAACACGCCCCCTTGGCCTTTGTCTTCTCAACAGCATCGACAAATCGAATAGAAGGGTGACGGAAGCTTCCAGGTTCAGGAGCAACTCTCGGAGCTCATCGGTCTCATTATCAAATTCAGATGCAAGCTCAAAGTCGAGAAACGCTATGTGCTCGTTTCTATTAGGCAGATTACCTAATATTATTTCAAGGGCTGTGAAACTGAAGGGTCAATAAAAGACTTAAATTTATGGGCTGACGTAGCTCACCTGTCGAGCATGATCTATCAATTCGATCCAGACCTGAAAGAATGCTCGGCTTCATTCTTCCAGCATTTTTGACTCGAGAGTCGAGAGACTTTGAAGATGACGGGGGCAAAAGCGCCCCAATATTGGCAGCCCAGACTCGAAATCTGCCTCGGGAATCTTCCGCCAGCATGTGGCTGTTGGAGTCTTCCGACTGCTCGAGGGTGTCTACTAGCCTCTTCAACTTTTCTAGACAGTCAAGCCCCAACTCCGAGATAGTCTTGGAGTTCTGTGATTCATCCATGATTGATGCGTATTCCAATGTGGTCACGTTTGGGTGTTTTCGTATTATAGGGGGTTTGCGGTGTGCGATCAGCTTTTGTCGTGGAGCGTCAGCTTGAATATGAGGGGTTTCTGAACTGATGCTCACATCTCACCTGCAGCCTGTGTTCGTATGCTCTACGACTGGCCAGAAAGTATTAGCCAACCAGATTTACTTGCCATCAATCACGTGCGCAGTCTTATCGAATTATTACTTAATGCCGCATTTTTGGGCGATCACCCCGCCCGAGGGAACAAAAAGCCTCACGTTCCTTTGCCTCCCAAATCCTCCAAGTAGGAGCTTCTCCAAGTATCGAGTTACTAAGACGGGACCAACGACACACCAAGCTTCCAGTACCATGTCGGGCTTCGAAATTGTTGGCTTGATTCTTGGGGCGTTTCCACTCCTTTTGGAAGGTGTCAAAGAGCTCCAATCACCTATCCAGAAAATGCGATTCTACTGGAAGTTTCAAACCAAATTCGAGATTTTCCTAGCAGATGTCAACAGAGAACGAATTGTTTACGACCAGAATCTTGACTTTATTCTCTCTTTCTTGGACATAGATCCAAATAACAAGCTCATGTTTCCCGACGGAATACCAGATTCGTTTTGGGGAGAGCAGAGGGTTGGAGAAGAACTGCGACAGAAACTTAAAGATCACCACTTCAACGAGTTTATCGCACAGCTGAACAAAATGCACCATGCACTTGAAGGCCTCTATAAACTTCTTCCTATTGAAAAGGTAGGTGATCATTTATTCCTGGACCTAAGGCTGCTGCCTTGACAGAGACTGACCGAGATGCGTCACCTTAGGTACGCCAAACAGACGGACAAGACATAGAAAGTCTCGTTTTCAGGCTTAAGACAAGTTTTCTTGGTAGTAAAGATGAACATCTGTCGCAGCTGAAGCAGTCAAATGAATGGATCTACAGATATCTTGACCGTGCTACGCGTATAACAGCAGACGTGACGCCGCAAGAGCAGCAACGACCTGATAAACACCACGACGGAAGATTGAAAGACTTCCAAATTCTTCAAGTTCAAGCACGATCTCTCTATTCCTGTCTCCAGAAGAGCTGGAACTGCGGATGTCCCGACGGCCACCCGTGCGGAATTACAGTGCAGCAAAGTACAGCTGAAAGTAACCGAAACCACAATATCATGATACTCTTTGATCCTTCGAATAGTCCAGGTATCTCCAGGATGAAAGTCAGAATCAGCGAATCTAGATCACAGTTGAAAGAAAAGGACCGGCCATGTCCTCGTAAGTCAAAACAGCACAAAATCGATGGACTTAGCCAACAGGTGTCCGCTAAGAACCTCCACGATACACCACATGGAGGTTTTCAAGTGATTCCTGAGCTTTTGAGCTCTACTTTTGGATTCCTTGGGGGTTCTGAACTCGTCAATAGTAATAGACTGCATAGGGCACCAGTCAAGCTAAGACGAAGCCCAAGACTTTTGCACTCAAAGAAGGGCAGTTCACCCGGAATTAACGCGGCTGCCATCTCAGTGAAGCAATCTCGGACTACACGATCTTCACAGTAAGTCATTATGGAAACAGTTGAAATATATCACCGGGTTTCTTTCGACTGATACAATAGCTAGACGTCAAACATCGACGCCATCCGCCAAGAGGGTTCGTTTCAGCCCTGACATAAACGACACTGCCTCAGGAAATGTGGAAGACGATGAGGGACTGATCAAGAACATCTGCGAATCCATCTGCTTCATTCCCAAGTCGCCATGTCTTGAATTCTTGGAGGGTGACGATCAAAAACGACTATACTTACACAGCGAGCCATCAAGTCAGTCACACCAACACGATTCACCGCTGACTATCACGTCATTCAGTAGAGACCAGAAGTCTCGTTTCAAGCGCCTGTACGTCGGGCTATCGACAGTGTTGCTGATCGCAAGTATCGGCGACACCTGTTGGCTTACACCATCTTGGGCAACGTCGGGACTTTTGCTCGTGGGTGAAAATGAGCAGTTAGGTTTTCATCCGTACATCGTTCACTCTTCTCTTTGGAAATCCCTGCGAGGAAAAGCAAAAATACCCACTCGCCCAGAGACCTTCTACCTGCTCGGAATCATTATCCTTGAGTTGGTATTTGGGGAGGAATTCTCCACAGCAACGGAATCCTTCCGTTCTGCTCACTTAGGCATGGATGGCAAGCCCAATGAACTGACAGAGTTTTGCACGGCGATGGAGTGGGCGAAGATGGCTGGTGGTCAAGTGGGCGACCGGCTATCTAATGGAATCGAGTGGTGCATCGGGTTCTTGTTGGACGAAAGGAAGCATCTCAGTAGCTCTGAATGCTTGCGGGAAATGTGGGATAGATTGGTTGCACCTCTTGAACATTTCCTTGAATTATGGGTTCGTGACCTCCTAGTATAAGATAGTTGCTGGATGAAACCATGTTATCCGGATGGAAAGTGTAGCAAATTGACTCCTGAATTCTCTGAAACCAGTAAAGGACCAAGAGCTTTTCAGATGTCATCGGGTTGCTGGCATTCCCTTCGACTAGGCCGGTGAGTGGGGCCGGATCCGGCACGGCCCCTTCAAAGATCGCTCGGATCCCGCCGACGGCGCGAGTAATTTCCCTTGGGGCGATACTACCTTAGTCCGAGTTGAGTTAAGCTCAACCTGGCCGCTGTCAGTGTTTTAAGGTCTGGAAACATCCTATCATCTGATATACCCTCAGAAACATAGTGTAGTGAGTAAGAACAGGCAAAGAGTCATTGAAACTCAAAGAGGAAAGAATAATCTCTTGTGTTGTGGTTTTGTTGCTGATCTTGACTGTCATTGAAAGACCCTTGTACAATTTGGATATTGCGCACAGACCATTGGCCAATTCAGAGATGACAGCCAGTGTGAAGTCAATGTGAGAGCGAGCGGTGAATGTTAACCCGGTGAAACTTGGTGGCCAAGTCTGGGAAAGAAGGCTGG